TCCAATCAGACAAATAGTTTCCGATATACACGAAAAACAAAAGCAACCTCAATTGTGTACAGTACAAAACGACCCCCCGTTTCGTGCCAAAAATTTGAAAAATATTAATTTCAGCTCTTCTATCTCTAATTCTGTATACAAGTAAAACAAATTAAAAGAAATTGATTGGTGCAAAGCAAACTCCAATCAGACAAATAATTTCCGAGATACACGAAAAACAAAAGCAACCTCAATTGTGCACAGTACAAAACGGCCCCGCCTTACGTGCCAAATTTCGAAAAATATTAATTTCAGCGCTGCTAATTTAAATTCAGTATATTAGTAAATCACTTTAAGATAATTTCATTGGTGCAAAGTAAATTCCTAACTGTCGAATATTTTACGAGATAGACGTGAAACACTACGGATCATTAAGTGATGAGTACAAATTACTCTCCCATTACAAAATTTGAAAAATCTTAATTTTTTCGCAACGTCCTGAATTTCTTTGTATAGGTAGAACACTTATTGAGAAATTTGAATGTGCCCTGACAATAAACAAACCTTCTGCTATTAAGCGAGGAGATATATTTGCATTGGCTAAGGGAAGGAAACCCAAACAGAAAAGTAACCCTTGCCTTTCAGGGAGAAAGGATTTTCCGAATGTTATGAAACCCTGACGGGAAACCAACCTTCTGCGTGAAGCGAGAAGAGGGATATCCAGAGGTTATGGGAAGGAAACCGTGACTGAAATCCAACTTTCTGCTTATCAGGGAGATGAGGGATCTTCAATGGCTAAGGGAAGGAATCACTAACCCAATCCATCCTTCTCTTTGCAGGGAGAAATGGGTTTTCCGAAGGCTAAGGGAAGGAAACCCTGACCGAAAACAAACCTTCTGTCTTTGAGGGAGGAGAGGTATCTGCAATGGCTAAGGAAAGGAAACCCTGACAGAAAACCAACCTTTATCTTTGCAGGGAGAAGAGGCATCTCCGAAGGCTAAGGGAAGGAAACACTGACACAAATCCAACCTTCTGTCTTGCAGGGAGAAGAGGCATCTCCGAAGGCTAAGGGAAGGAAACACTGACACAAAACCAACCTTATGAGTGTGACTTGAGAGTGATTATTTGGAAACCGGTAAGTGCAAGAATTATGAGTGTGGACAATTACAATTAAAGAGTAGAGTGGCACTAATGTGTATATATGCACCACCCGAAGAAGAGGATACAACAGAAAAGGAAATATTTTATTCCGAAGTTCAGAGAGTAATACAACAAACAGAAGGAACGAATGGTCATTTGGTGATAATGGGAGAGTGGAATGCTCGAATAGGAATGAATGCGCGGAAAGGAAAGGGTAGTATGGGGAAATATGGAATGGAGAAAATAATGATTGATAATGAGGAGCGGATGCTAGAATGTAGTATATATTATAAATTGCTGATAGGAAATACGTGGTTGCCACAGAAGAAAATACAGAATACACCTTTGAAGCAAGGAGAAACCAGATGATAGTTAAAAGTATGATTGATTACTTTACGTAATCTGATACTTACGTATACGGAATCATTTAGATACGCAGTAATGTATATTAGGGTGAATAGAATTGTGGAATTAAGCCTGGAACAGAAATTGGTGGGGATGAAAACCCGTACCAAATATCCACCGCGAGAATGATTTTAGAAATATTTTAAAATTAAAAGTGAAAAATTGAGAATGCAGGGAAATAGGAAAATATATGAACAAGCAATTGAAGTATACTGAAAACGAAACAGGGAGAGATGACGGAAGGAATCGAAGAAGAATGGAAGAAGCTGAAGGAAACGATGCTAAATGGAGCAATAGAGGTATGTGGTAGGAAGAGAGTAAATCCGCGTTTTAAAAGAAATAGACGGTGGACCGATGTGGCAGATGAATGAGTAAAGAAAAAAAGCGTGTGCCGCATATATGGTTTCAAGAACGCAAGAAGATTGGGCAAAGTACTTAGAAAATAGAGCAAAACTAGAAGTGAAAAAGGCAAAGGTGAAGTCAAGGGAAATGTTTGCAGCAGAATTTGAAGAAAAATATCGTAAAAACAACAAATATTTCTGGCAAGTCGTAAATGGATTAAGAGAACATAATAAAACGGAGAGAAGGATTAGGGATCCAAATAACAACTTAGACCAGAACAACAGAACAGACGGAGGTAGTAGAAACCTGGAGGAAGAATTATGAGACCATCTTCAATGATAATAACAGGACAGCCACTGGTGATTGGAGGGAGTTGAATGAGAGTCAAGAACTCGATGAGTCACTGCGAAAAGGGAAAGAGGGGGAAGAGGCATCGAACCAGGCGAGGGGAGCAGAGGTGGAGGAGGATTCCAGAACGGAAAGAGATGTAGAAGAGGCAATGAGGAGAATTAAATTGCTTACTAGAAGTCATGCAGCAAGCTGAAAAATCATTTTTTGAAATGGGAGAAGCACAATTGGAATTCCTTACTGTGAAGTTGAATAATGACAGACTAGATGACATAAACAATGTTTAATAGGATAATAAGTCAATTAATATAGTCTAACGAAGAAACTTAAAACAGTGCTACGTCTTGTGGCTAGTGATTTGGACTTGGTTAGTTACATTAATAATAATACATCGTAATATACTTTCAATAAAACAAGTGATCAACAGAATACATATTACAATGATTGTTAATACGCTTGGTGGTGTACAAAATGGAATAAGTGAATGCAAATTGAAGCCATAAGCGTTCATACATTTGTGCGCAAAGCATTTGTCATATTTTACATGATAAAGAATTACCCAAGCAGTTCTTGTCGGACAATAACTATTCTAAGAAGTGATTTATAAGGAGGATGGTCAATGCTGAATACTTGAGAACGTTGATGACACCGGCCGCGTTAGTAGTACAGCCTACGAGAGACATCGCAACTCTTGCCAAGTCAATTGGAGCAGTTGTGAGCAATCACATGCTCACATCCAATGCAAGGCGCCAATGCCAGGTGTCTGACTGTGACTCCTAAAGCGATATGCCCGATTTGTGCCCGTACTGGAGGTCCTGCGAGTTTGAAACATATTTTGATTTTTGGGGGTACTTTACTTGAAAACTCAACGACTGAAGTGCTTTTGTCTTGTGATCATAAAGAAAACTTTAGAACTATTTCATATTAATACGTTTAATCTTTGAACAGTAATGTATTTGATTATGTTCATTAGATAAAATATCATTAATACGTCATCTTGAAATAAAATACAAATATTGAACGTGAGCTTGAAAGTTGGCTGTTACAAACTTTGATCTTGCCCAGATGAGAAGAACACGTCCGTCACACTAAGATAAATCTGTAAGTAATAAACATTTTCTTAGTTCACATGGCAATGGATATAAAGTAATTGTAATAAAATAAATATTTGTATGTATTATCCATTGTATCGGAAGAAAGTAAATATTGGTCTTCGTTGTACTGGAACATCAGGTGGACGACTTCAAATGTGGTTACACGTTTTCCTCGGATATCGTAAAGGACGCTTAAAAATTGTGCCAGTCATGTTCTTTGAATTATATGAATATAAGAAAATTGCAAAAGTTCCCTTGTTTTCGAATTCCTACAATTACATCATTTAAGACTATTTTTAAATAAAATCTGTTCTTAAAAAGCTATCTATAAATGAAGCCATTGTCAATTTTGAAAAATATGAGTTCTAGTGAAATATTGAGAAAAATATATGCACATTTTGGACAATTAATCTCTCAAAAACTGATCCAAATGTTTAATTTCTTGTGGCATAGAGCAAAGTGCTGTTATGAAAATGACTCTGGTCTAGTGGACGAACTCTGCGTTTTCAAAAGATGTTAGATATTGTAAGATGTTAGAAAGTATATTGACGGTTGAGAATTTTCCTTAATGAAATGATTAAGAAAATTGAATCGGTAAATTCGTGTTTACATTTAAGAATATGTGGTTTCGGTAAATGGGTGTGTTTATGTATATGGGTATGAATGCACTGATTAATTTTATAAGGTTCTGGGTATGAGTAAGTACTAAGGCAAAAATTTACATATGAGTATTACAAGGAAATGGTATAATTATTAGTGGAATAACACTGAAATGTGCGGTTTTATTTCCATATATTGATTTGTTTTCTGTTTATAGATTATCCAGGTGAATGTGGCGATGTGAAGAGAAGAGTTGAGGAACAGGAAATAATTTTGAATTTGAAATTTGTCAATCATGTATTTTTGAAATGTATAAATTCAATAAATGGTTGAAAAGTTATGCATACTGTAATTTGTATTTGTCTAGAAAACATTTAAACCCTAATTTTTGAAATTTAAGATGCTGAAAATGGAATGATTCATGAATTTACTTTGGTGGGTGTAATCAATGTTTGCAACATTTTTTAGGTGGTACACCAATGTTCTCTGCAGATTTTTATGTTTTTGTTTAGTGAATGAAGGGCATGCACTTTGCTTTATGCTTAACTTTTAATTCATGATACTAAGAAAATAGAAATAAATCAACAAATTTGCTAAGTTTGAATTGTTAGGACAGTTCAAAAGAATGTAGTTTGTAGTCTTATGAAAGCAAGTACTCAGACATCTCAGATTGCCATATCTTATATTCTCTAATTGCAGATTAATCTTTAAATAGGTCTGCTTAAATTTATCAATCAGGTGTATTGTCCATATGCTATGAAAGTTGCCTTTGAAAGTTTGCAACACCAACAGTGAATCTCCATATTGTGGAAATGTCTTCAGCTTATGATCTAGTTCTCTTTATAAGCATGATGACAAGTCTCCACGCAAAAAAATATTAAGTACTCCAATGTTTGAAGTCCAGTTAGTGCTACCGATTTATGTAGTAGCCATTGCCTTACGTTTCTTAAGTTCCTTGCTGAAGTTTATCGGAAATTATAACTTCAAGTTGCCTCCTGCCTGGTTAGTTTGTAAGTTTACTTAGGCTCAAAAAACTGGAAGTATTCTTTAACCTTTAAACATATCCTAGTAGGAAGCAAGGGGAAAAAATAATAAGTGTGTAATTGAGAAAACTTTATTAGAAATGCAGGGTAGTGTGGCTGTGCCTGTGTGCTCCTTCGGCTCCTGCGCTTCGACGCTCCACGCTCCCACGGAGTGCCTACGTGCCTGCACCCTGGCTGGGGCAGCGAGGGAGGGCAGCTCACACTGCACCTCCACATTGACAGGATCTGCATCTGCAACAATACAAGTCAATTAACATATACATTTATTCTATTTTATTTCTAAATATTAAGAGAAACAAACGAAGATAGGACGGGAAAAATTAAGATTTTTTGCAAGCAAGACGAAGGACATTGAGAAATGTAAGAATGCAATTTAAAAGAAAATTAAAATAAGGGAAGGTTAAGGGCACAAATAGGTTTTATAGGTAGGAGAAAAGACGGGATAAATGGGTAATTTACAAGCAAAAGGATTTACAAACTTAAGGAAAAGAAAATGAAATCACGAGGTACGAGGGAAAAATATGACAAGTATGAAAATACACGGAATGAAATAAGAAACCAAGGTTATACTGTCAAATATTACAAAAATACTGAGATGCATAATTTAGGAAAAATAACCAATGGTATAACTATAAAAGAAAAAATAACTAATGCAAAATGGATATTTGCAGAGTTATCAAGGCACAAAGGACAGTAATAATTACTTTGAGAAACAATGTAAAGTGCAGAAGGAGTAGGCAAAGCGACAATGTACAATATCCAAGGAAAGAGAATGGGAGCAGCACACAAAGGATGAAGGGGATGGGGAAAGATGTACATCTCCAAGATGACTGGACAATTTCATAGAAAAAAGGAAGACTGATCAGGAGCTTGATCAGGGCCATAGGACGCGGTCGACCGTAAAGATTTGGGTGCTCCAGGAGGGTGTGAAGCCTTCCGCGAAGAGCGTCTTGTGTGCACTCACGCGCAGGCGCCGCCACCACGGGCTCGCTGCGCTTGATCGCCGCGGAGACTCCGCGCACGAGATCGTTCGTGGCCGTCTTCGGTTCATCCCGCCGAGCGATGGATGCGGCGGTTGTAGGCCGCGAAGGCACCGCGCAGCATGGCCGCCCCCGCCGCCACATCCCACCTTCGGGCGTGCGACTGGAGCGCTCTACGGCAGCCGCCTTCCTCGCGGAGTGGAACAGTGACGCATCCCGCACGAGACAGGGGAGGACGCGATGAAAAACCCGCTGACGTCGTCGGTGTGGACGAGCGGGAGGGACGCGCGCCAACGCTTGCGTCACGAGCTCGCCTGTTTTGCGCGCGACGGGCTCCGCCCACGCGAACTTGCAGTGGACATCGATCAGTCAGAAGGTAGCGTTTGTTCCGGTTGAAGCGCGCGTATCCACGAGATCCGCTTGCCAGAGATCGTCCAGGCCGCGCAGGGGGCGCGGAGCTACCGCGCGATACCGGCACGCACGTGGCGCGCGCACCGTGCTTGCCGCAGAATGCCTGCCGCGCGCAGCTCCTGCTCCATTTGATGAACACCGCCGTCGTGCGCGTCGTGGCCTGGAGCGCCCAGAGGAGTCGGACGCGCGCGTTGGGAGCACGCCACGGCGTGACGCGGCCTGCGCGTGGACGAAAGAGCAAGGGGGGGGGCAATGAAGTACCCCCGCGCAAAGCCTGTCGTCCTTGGAACCGCGTGCGAAGGGCGTTGCTGTCTTCCAGAACGATTTTGCACGCACGCCTGTCTTCGCTGCTAACCGCGGTCGAGCGGGGTCGCTTCTCAAAGAGTAGCTCCAGTAAACCTCTGCCTACCGAGAGCGTGCCGTGATCGACGTGGAAGGGGATGTTACCTATTTAGAGCTGAGGATGCAAATCACCGCGCTCATACACAAAACGCGGACTGAACCACGGGTCGGTCAACTGGGCGACCATACGACTCGTCGGTGCAGTAGAGAGTCCTCGCGAATGTTCTGCCTTCGTCGCCGTGGCTGGGTGCGCCGTCGAGCTGGACACGGGGTCGTGCGCGGCCAAGGGCGGGTCCAAGCCGACTCCGCCGCCGGCGAGGAAGGCGTCGACGAGAGGGCGCTCACGAGGCCTCCGACGCGACGCGAACGGATCATTGTTGTTGTGGAGCACGTGTTTCAGAGACCTCTTCACATAGATGTCGAGCAGGCGTTCCCGTTCTACCTCGCCACGACTGGCCGTCTCGATTTCGACACAGACGCTCGGCCCGGGGAAGCAATGCCCCGGACGCGAAGGGCGGCGCGAAGGAGTGTCCGTGAGGCATGCTGACCACCGATCTTGCTTTTGAGGAAGATGGCGCTTCCCACCCCGAGGGCGGCGCCACGCGCGCGCACGCGGGCAAACGCATGATCGCGAGCGCCCGGTCCGCCCGTCGACGCGTGGGCGTGACCTTGTGGACGTGATAGGCGATATCGTGGTCGCGACAGGCAGCGTCTAAAGCGTAGACACCCCGGTCGCCGCGCGCCAGACGTGTTGGCAAGCGGGTGCCGGGTGCGCAGGACTGGCAGACCGGGATGTGAAGTTGGAAGGGAAGCGCGTCGACGGCCCGATTCAAAGGTTGCCCAGTGGCCCACGGGCGTGGGATTGCTTGCGCCGCGGAGGCATCGTTGCGGGGCAATTGGCGCAAAGCGCGGACACCGAGGTGTATTTAAGTGTTTACGGGGAGGCAGTTTGAGTTTTTGAAAAACCTTATTTGAAGTACTATGAAGTACTTCAAGTCAGCAATAGTTTTTACAAATTAGTGGTAATGTGTGTATAAACGGCGAGAAATATCTTAAAAAAATACATTTGTTTAATTTTAGAAAAAACAAAAAATACCCCCAAATGAACTGTACGACATTAACTAATTCAAAAAACACTATCTTCGAAAAGTTTGAAGAATAGATTAGGAGCCTTTTTCATTTCAAATAAGCAGCTCTTTTACAACGCCTAAACGTCCACATAAATGAAAATAATCTTATACCCAACTACCAGTTTGGATTCAGGAAATTTCACTCTACAATCGAACAACTGCATAGAATAGTAAACGAAATTAATAAAGGTCTGGAAGAAAGCAAATACTGTTCAGCCGCGTTCATAGATGTTGCTCAAGCGTTCGATAAAGTGTGGCACACTGGCCTCTTATATAAAATTAAAAGATCTTTACCATCAGAATTCTACATTATTTTAAAGTCATATCTCCTTGAAAGGTTTTTCCAAGTAAAACAACAAGAAGCTTACTCCAAATTACACCCCGCACAGTCTGGTGTGCCACAAGGAAGCGTTCTGGGACCTGTCCTCTATCTTCTCTACACAGCAGATCTTCCATCATCTAAAAACGTCACAACAGCAACATACGCGGACGACACAGCGGTAATAACGAGTCATGAAGATCATGAAATGGCGTCTGAAGTGCTCCAGGAACACTTAACAAAATTATCTAATGAATTTAAAAGATGGAGAATCCGAGTGAATGAAGCAAAGTCTACCCACGTGACCTTCACCAATAGAAAGAATACATGCCCCTCAATCAAAATGAATGATAAACTAATACCACAGGCAGACACTGTAAAATATCTAGGTATGCATCTAGATAGACGTTTAACGTGGAAAAAACACATAATCACTAAAAGAAAATAACTAGACCTCAAGTTCAAAAAGATGTACTGGCTACTGAGACGCAAATCGGCTTTGTCACTCAAAAACAAAATATTGTTGTACAAAGTACAGCTAATGCCAATCTGGACCTACGGCATTCAACTATGGGGTACTGCAAGCAACTCAAATCTAGAAATATTACAAAGGTTTCAGTCAAAGCTATTGCGCACTGCTGCTAATGCTCCTTGGTATATTTCCAATGTAATTCTTCATAATGACTTGCAAGTAAAAACTGTTAAAGAAATAATCACCAGTTCCAGTTCCAGGCAACCGTTCCAAACAGACATGAAAACCGGAAACATTTTGGGTGAGGACTCCAAACAGAAAGATAACTTTAAAGTAAGCTATCAAGGTGATTGGGAGGTCAGTTAAATGTATACTTTCAACTTCATTTATTTCATTTTCATCTCTTGTTGAAAATAATGCATATTTTGATTATCGTGCAAGTTATTAAGTAACTTCTAGACATCAAAACAAGAAAAAAGTGAAATTCACAATACTAAATTAATTTTATTTCAAATTTAAAGTATTGTATTTGTGTATTTTATCTTTTCCCTTTATTATATCTTTGCTATCTTCATCTACGCTTGTAAAAACCATCTTGGAACAGCCTTCGCTGAATAAAGTAGTTACTCTTAAGGAAAACTAGAAAACTGTTCTAGAATTGTCCGTGATCAATGCAGCAGGACTTCGATCTCTTATAGGCGGCTTTTTGTTCATACCAACCTCAAAATTCGGTTTATTGGAATATGGCTCTTACGAGGTGCAAGTAAGCAACTGCCCCCATTAACGTGTGTAACGGGGTCCGGCAATAGTGATAACATAGCTTGCGATCTGCTTCCTCGCAACTTCTAATATCCCAAGAATCTCATTCACGCATAGACAAAATATTCCTCAAAATCTTTAAACGCATTGCAGATCTATAACCATACTAAAACCCATACAAATTACAATTCACATTCAATGAGAGCATAATGTACTGCGACATTGTAACAATTGAGTACCGTGCGTTAGCCGCAAGTGCGCCTTAGATGATCCCCTCTAAACAATCATTAAGAAGTTTTTACATTATGGAATGGTAATGAAAACCATACAAGCGGTTTTAAGTTATCGCAAATTATCATAGACAATTTTGATATTTATTTAAATTATTCATTTCAGGAATCAGATTTCTCCTTGATATAATTGGGAACCAAAATTTATGTTAATAAACTATTATGTTAATATTGTTAATTTTTACATTGTGAATATTATTGTAATAACGAAACTTCCAAAATATAAATCTAAACAAATACTTTAAGAACTATGCTTTATTACGATTTCAGAAAAAACTGAAAATTTAAATTAGTTAGAACCTTCATACAAATCAAGTTTGATGAATTAAAAACTAATTCTTCGCCAAAAAAGCATTATGAATGAAGTCTCACGTCCCAACAACTTATTACTAATTATAATAAATTATTAGCGTTGCTTCATTTAAGCATATCAAAAAACTAGACTGAAAAAATATCCACGCATTACATTTTATTAATTGTGTAAAATGTTGCAGTAAAGGCGCGCCAGAAATGCGTGTCCGCAGTGTCACGTTGCTGGTGAGAAGGCTTGCAACAGAAATTACCTTGAAACCGCGTGCAGCACCTTGAAAACGTAAAGTGTGTTCTCAGCGCAATTCTAATACATGATGGAAGTGTTGAGTGCTGACTCCTTCACTTGTTTCCACCAACAAATTCAATTTTTAATACGAGGTCCAGATTCGCCTCGGCGAGGAGACGCTTTCGTGGAGCCCTGCATTGCACGTACTTTCCATTCACTTCTGACAAATCATTAGATTTGCCATGCACGACTAGCAGTAACAACGAAATGAGCGAGGGTCCGCCCGCAAAAATTTTTCCGGGTTTGATTTATGAAAGAGTAGCTTGCACTAGTAGTGTTACTACCTTGAATAGTAAAAATATCCGTTAAGAAATTTAAACTCCGATCTATGATTAATAACCAAATCTACCTCTTATTTAATTTTATGAAATTAAGACTTATAAAACCAAAATGAATTGTTTTCCTTTATTGCTTTAGGAACAGGGTTACGTGAAGCTACCGAAGCGGGAACAATGATCTGTTAGATGCAGTTTTAATTTTATTGACTCAACTACCACAAAATGTAAGAAAGTATCAAGGTATGAATATTTCTTACAATCGCGAAACACCAGCATAAAAGTTGGCCCTCTTACCTGGGCCCGAACGTTACGTCACTGACGAGCAACTGTCACCTTCGCTTTTGAAATGGAATGAATATCTATATTCATGAAAGTAACTAAAATGTTTTCAATCCCTCAAAGGGACTAAACTTTATAAATAATTTCACGGTAAGTAGCAGTCTTTTCACCCGAAGGTTCTTCCCACCTAAAGTCCTCAATCCCTCATGACCTTTCTTCCATTGTATGTTTTCATCTGTCATTCACACCATTTATTTTTCGTTTTTAAACTTAAATATTTGTTGTGAACGTAAGTATTAAAATAATATTTCTGCATGCATCAAACTTCTGTTGTCTTACAATAAAGTCGCCGTAAATATTGAACCCTCGGTAAGCAATGAACTCCCAAGAAGAAATGCACGTGTATATAATAAATATTTGTGCTTCTCTATTTGAGAAAAAGAAATTAAATGCTGAATGAATTATTTAACCGCACCAATAATGAGAATTGTAGTGTTAAAGTACCTCATTTCTATTTTAAAATACTGCAATGAGCAAAGATGAGACTATTTTGATGAAGAAAAACCTAAACAGGTACAACTATTATTTCCGATTCAAGGTAAATGGTAAACCAAAAAACCGAGAAAATAAATACTTCTATTTAGTTCATTACATCTGATAAACCTTACCTTCATTTCAACAAAATAAAATTATTTCTACTACCTCTATTAAACCATTATCAAGGTGAACTGAATACCAATTCAATAACATTTCTATAAATTCAATAAGAAAACTTACGATGTAATCAGCAGATTTAGCAACTTCAAACTTGCATGACCCACCACCTTCCGCATTTTAATCTGCATCTCATCCCACCTCTTCAGAGTCCGAGCTCTTCCAATACAGACACGATCTAAAAATCAGAAATTAATTGCATCTCTCATAGATAACGTATCTTTACGATGTGCTGCAATCGATTGAACTGCCCCAAATATTGCAACGGGTACACGATGTGCCCAAGTGTCACGCATCCACATGCCAAGCACTTTTCAAAGACTTAGTCTTTGACACTACATTTAAATCAAATTATTTTAGGGGACAGTAAATATCTACTTTCTAAAAGTATCCGCCAATGTTTATATTGATTAAAGTATAGAATTGTCGTGAAACAACTGTAAAAACGTGCAATGAAATATAAATACCTGATTTTCATATGAAATATAACGAACACAAAAATTTACAAAAACATAGAACTGCTCACCATAACAGCCGCAAAAAGACCCCACAACTGCATCGCTGCATGTCACAGGCGCAACCTCTCCCGAAGGCTTGCTTTTCAACTGTAAATAAACAGACTCGCGAAGTCGCCGATCCCGAATACTTGTCGCAAATCGTTACCAGGGCCCTATAACTCCCATATAACGTGGTGGGGACCATTACAGTGGCGCGCTCTGGAGCATCACCTTCTTACACGAACTAAAATACGATCTGCTACCAACGTTATTTAAAACATGCGTGGGTTCTCGGGACGCAAACACACGTGTTTGATACAAAAGATCGCGCCGCTGTTCGCGCTACCTTTTCTTTCATGCGTGTATTATTATGAATAAATGAATTTTAGAAGATAAACACGTAGTATTTAACTTCTTTTGTAATTTATTTCAGAAATCGCTCATAATCAAAGTGTATTCGTATTTCTTGACCAATTTTTATGTGCGAAAGTTGGCGTCTTACCAGCAGATATATTAGGCGACACTAGCGCATCCTATAGTAGCAACCTCTAGCTTTGTCCTCAATTTTGATGGAGAGTTGCCGGGCCCTGATCGTTACATTCATTTCATTCGCATTTGAATCGTCACGTGAACTCTACGTCGTCAGGGACACGTCACAGTTTCAGACGCTGCAAGCGCAGTTTACTCGTAGATTCTAGGAGAGAGATTCGTGTCGTTGCTACTGCTCCTTCGGAAACCGCGAACATTCAATTGACTCACATTAAAAGCGTTACGTTTGATTGACAATGCACTTTTAAAGCCAATTTTAATGTTAAATGGCAGAAATTCGAATAAACAATTTAAAGAGCACTTACAATCATATTTCTAAATAAATAAGACAAGCGTTTTCATTCAAATTACGTACTTCATTTTCATGGCAACGTTGCTGCAATGACTCGTGAATGTGCTTCAAGAAAATAAAATAAATATTAATAAACATGTATTGACGAGATAAATTGCAAGGGGACGAAAAGAGCTATATATATTCTAAATTTCACTAGTGAGTTAAATATATATACTTTCCAGAACCACGTATTATTTAATTCATTACCATGTTTTCAAAATGTTCATTGCGAGAAATTTACTTTCCTTATTTCTTAATTTAGAATATATATTGTTCGATAATAATTTCACAATAACCTTAGTTTACTGCAATGCAAAATGTGGTAATAAACTAATGTTCACAGATTATATTGACAAAAACTTATGTAAAAATATATATAGTTTCATAAAACATGCTTTATAAAAAATACTATCATGAACAACAGGCATGAGCATTTTTTCATTAGCTGCATCTTTCTTCAGAATATTCTAGTACCCTGACTTCTCTCCCCGAACATACAGCAGACTATTTGGTCATTCAATGAAATATATTCTTAGTTTGTCAACGTCTCAGAACTTTACTGTACCCTCATCAGGACTGTGGGACACATATTTACACTGCTTCACCCATATTGGATATATTTCATAAAAAAATATCGCATGAACAATGATAAACTAAGTTATTAAACATAAAACAATAAACTTACTTATTAATTATAATTAAAATACAATAGATTATGCAAATTATGTTATTGAAACCCACCTTGCTAAGGTTGAATATTTAAGAGCAAAATAGCAATAATTCAATACATGGCATCAGCGGCACCTACACATACACTCCTCCACTCTATGTCTCCATGTTTACGAATGCACTGTTATACTTCCAAAGTCTGGGAAACATTAGACTGCTGTGGTCAATGCTCAGCTTCGTGTACCATGTGTTGGTTTCTTAATGTGATAAGCGATTGGCCATAGCCTTACAGATGTAATAATTGCCACCAGTTTAAATCCAATGGCTTTAATTTATTGTTATTATTATTATTATTATTATTATTATTATTATTATTATTATTATTATTATTGGCGTATAGGCCAAAATTGACCACGCCACACGATTAACGTGTGTAATTTTTCCAGGAACAGCTTCTAAGCTGTATCCCTCATTACGACAGGTTGTTTCGCCTTGAAGTGTGAATTATGAGATGATAGGATGATGAAGGGTGAAGGGACAATCACAAATACGACCATGCCTACGCAGGACTCGAACAATATCAAACATTGTAGGTACCTATTTCTTATTCTGTTTTTTACTCCTAAAGTTGACCGGTACCTAGCATGTTAGAACAATCTACAAAATATTGTTTGCTTCTATTGAACTGCATTGTATAAACATATCATTGTTATATTTCTTATTCTAATTAAATAACTGATCATGTATATGCCAAAAAACTGAATAACAAGTTTCTTATAATTGAATTGTATTACACATCACAATTTGGGTATTATAAAGGAGTTGTTCTACACCACACATAGTCAATGTTAAAACATATTTATATTTAGGCACTTTTACAATGCTACCGATTCTAATTTAAACATATGGAACACACCATCTGTTATGCTGAATATTAATATAAAATATACTTAAATTGTCTGCATAAGTTTTTTTGTGGTATGTTTTATTTTTACAATTGTAAATCATTTGTTTTGTTAACTTCACCTTTGTGTTGATTTCTGTATCAAAAATTCTGGTGCTGTGCAAATTGAATTGAAGATTGGTGTCTGTGGTGCGATTTTCTAGTGCACACATGGGTATGTTCTTTTTAATTGTCTGTCAACTTTTGTTTGTATGACAACTTTGTTGTAGGCCAATGTTCTTTTTAAATACCGAGTGATTTGACCTTTATATTGAGGGTCACAATCATCACATGGAACTGATTGTATTACATTGCTTCTGTTCTTATTGTTACTCTTGTCTTTAGTTTTGCTAAAATTAGTATTTCCAATAATTCTATTGTCAGAGAAGTCTATATTACATTGGTCATTTTTAAGCATTCAACCCAGTGGTTCCAGGGGTTTGTGATACCTGCTCAGTATTGTCTGCGGATTTGTTGTTATACGAAAGTGAAGTTATTAATTTATTATTGAGGCCATTCTTATTTAAAATTAAAAACAATTTTTGCAGGTTATTCTTATGAAAGCATGGATTATTCAGCCTAATGGCTCTGTGTTTGAGCGATAGAGCAAAATTAATTTTGGATGCAATCTTTTGTCTACACTTGAAGTTCAAATATCTTTCAGTTTTGTGAGATTTCCTATACCAGTATAATGACAATGATCCATCATATGATAAGGCAGTCTAGAAAGCAGTGCCGGAGGTAGACAATTTTGGGCCCAGGGCAATGCTGAAACGTAACTTCCCTACTCCCCCAAAAATAGTTAAAAAATTATTATCATATTATTAGTATTAAATTTATTAATTTATTATTAAAACCATTGGATTTACTGGTGACAAATCGTTCCATCTGTAGGGCTATGGCCAGTAGCTTATCACATTAGGAAACCAACATATGGTACAGGAAGCTGAGCATTGACCACAGTAGTCTAATGTTGCCAAGACTTTCCAAAGAATAATAAGCAGTGTCCTCTAGCAAATTATTTTCGACCCCTCTCCCCTGAGGAACCCCATGCGGCGGGGGCTAGCGCAACCGCTGGACGGGGAAGGGAGCCAACGTAAGCGGACTTCGGTGATCCGTCGCTGGGCTGGAAGCCCCGCGGGGGTGAAACGGGGGCGCCGGGCAGGGGCCCCTGCTGCGCGACCGCGCTGCAACCCGCCGCGCTTTGGCGCAGGGAGGGTGGCCGATGTGAAGGCGGTCTGCCTGCCCGCCCGCCCCGGGTGCGGTGGAACGGATGGCCCCTAACAGCTAAACTGTTTTTTCTTAACCCTCATATGTATCCATGCATGCTACACCGGTAGAAGAATAGGTGGGGTAATATGTAACCCAAAAGTATACAATCAAATAACAGAATATAAGGTTACTGAATATTTATTTAAAGTTAATATAAATATTGTTTCACCTATAAAGAGTTGATATTGCATGAAAAATAAATGCTTAATCCACGTTCTTGGAAGATAGTTTTGTTGTATTTGAAGCATGCTTTTTGCATGAACTTCTGATCTTGGTCACCCATTTCGTTCGTCATTCAATTAATCTTGCTTTGTTCCTACGCTAACTTATACTTTTATCAGAGTGCACAATAGATAGTACCAAGATAGTTTTCATGGTTGATGTAAAATAAGATATTTCTAGATTTTTGTTGGAGGAGACGTACTTACCTACTACATACAGGGGTATTTCGTTACCTCAAATTCCTTCTAATTTCCTTTACGAGAGTGCCAGACGAACCACACATGCGACAGACGAACCCTAACTTCAAAGGAGAATACACAAAATTTCACGATCGTGAACTTTCTTTTGCGAAAACTCCAAATGCAAGATGTGATGTAACATATTACTCCTGTATCCTTTGAGGGTTAACGGTTAAGAGTTACAAACTTTTACAAGGTAAAATAACTTATTTCGTTTCCTCTGTTAATTATAAGTATAAACTCATAGAACTACAACCTGTTGGGCAAAAGCCAAATTACAAGATTTCGCGACAACCATTTTGTACGATAACAGTTTCATTGTAACTAATCAGTCGTAATTAGCAAGTGTTCAATTTATAGATTTATTAATATAAAATTCATTATTATATACCATGTACCACAATATTTTTATATAGTATATACACTGCGATAAAACATTTGTCCTTCAAATTAAATCTGTTCAATACGTTTGTTTTTTATTCTGTCCCATTGCTAATAATGTGAGATCCACTAATATTTCCCTAAGTGCTGTAAAATAAAATGAGTTTCGGTCAAATAACTCGCATTATTTTTAAACAGTCATTACCACTTAAGCTGTTCGCAAGCATAATCTGTTTTTTTTTCTGGCATTATTTTTGTCACTTTTCAGTTCCCTATGCACAAGTTGCCTACTCAAAAGTGTATTTATAAACTGAACCCGAATCACGAATAACTCTCATTTAAGTATTATTCGTCCAGCCGGCGGAAGATTTTCCACTGGGTGAGGGCAGGTAAGAGATGTAGATGCTTGCTGACTTTGACAAAATGTGGAAAGAATTATCTTCTCAATGCACATATTAACTTAAGTGTTTCGACATTTGTTTTAAGCTCTAGGACGCGCTGAACAACGGCGACTTTTGAGCCGTCTGGCAAATACAGGAAAAAAGCCGTTCCCTGACGAATTATCTCGCGCTGGCACTCTAGTGTCACAATATCGTGTTTAAAAACGACTATGGTGAATGAATTATTTACATTACATTGATTCTCGTTTACTCGCGTATCTGGAGGAATGCGTTTAATGGCGCACGGTATTTAAATATCCTGCCTTAGATAATCAAAATATGAAGGAAACTTGAAAAATGGCAGTACGTTCTATACAATGCAATATGTTTATATAATATTTTTTCCTGCAATATATTCTGCCACGTACCAAATTCTGATGTAAAAGAAACAATAAATTAAAATTGTAAATTTAATGTCTGAAACAAAAATCAGAAACTCAAATATTTCGTAATGTTTTTTTTTAACAAAGCGCAAAGTTGTCGAGATATAAGCGAAGCACTGAAAAAGAGTGCGAACCTTTTAGTTCTTTTTTGTTGCAATTTTTTGCATGAATACATTTCTCGAAATGGCAAATATCAAATCCGAATTCAGCACCTCTCAATAAAAACCCGTTGCGAAAAAAAGCTCTGGAATTTTTCCTGGGCCCAATACCTCCTGCCTGGTTATCACATGCACTAAACGACTTTACTCCGTGGTGTTTTGAATCGGCGATTGACAGCCATGCCGCGAACTCCCGCTCATGCTTCATCATATTTAAAAGTCAGTAGCGTTTGTAATTATTCATCAAATGTAATATATTTGATGAATTTGTCTTCTGAAGCCCTGGCTCTTTCTTCATCTCTCTACAGGGCTTTGGCTCTCCAAGAGCTCGTCAGCCTCCCAGGTCCCTTGATTCGCGATGAATGGGTGTGGCACCAGCCACCACTAGCGCTGTTGGTTCTGAAGGAGCAAGCAACCCTCAGGCCTCCTTGCCTCTGCCCCGCGCTCAAACGCCAGCTGAGATATTCCCTTGCGAGAGTATCGATCCACGTCTCTGATCCGTACAACATGATAGAGTGAGCTACCGAGATGTCGCATGATCAAATCTCGATCCTCCAACGTTTGCCTTGGGCCTACCCGGTTTACAACATTACCCAGTGATCCAGTCACTTATGACTAAATTATTTCTATCACTATATAATAATGATAATGATGGTGATAATAATGGTAATGAAAATGATAATGATAAAAATGATGTTAATAATGATGATGAGGAGGATGAGCAGGAAGAGGAGGAAAAAAAGAACAAGAGCATCATAACATCTTGATTTTGATTTATCTCATTAAAAAATAATTAATAATGTAGATATGTTCCCATTAGTGGATTTCCCATTGCTGGTAAAAAAAGTTTCTTTTAATTTAAAGGCAAAAATTATTATCAACAATTTTTATTACAAGAACGCTTTCCTGATTTATGTCAAATACAGATGGAGGCATGGCAAGAGCCAATTAAACTATTTACATCGCATCTACACAACACATAAGCCCTGTAAATTACAAATACAAACAGAATATTGAAAAAAAGACTTTGTGAAATATTTTATTGCTTTGTATATGATTTGTTGAACAAATTAATTAAGCTACTTGCAGAAAAACCTGACTGTTTTCTTAAAAAGTGTCTCCACATAAGTAAATACTCATTTCTACATCATTCAGAATTAGTTTGGAATTTCTCTTCCATTGAATTACATTCTGTTCACACTTTTCCAAATTCTTTTTAAAAAAAATATTGTCATAAAAAACAAGAATATGTCAATTTTTAAATAATGAAACAGTATTTCAATAGTTTCTTTATGTTAAATATGGCACCAACATTATATGTTCAATTGTTAAAAAGCTTAAACTCTAGGTATTTTTCCTCCTTCAATATTAAATCTTCATCTTCAGTACTGGTTTCCAATTTTGTTAGCACCACTGAATACGGAACACATGTAATGGCAGTGAACAACGTTAAGTTGAACTTTTAAGCTTATAAGTATATTTAACATTGTAATGTTTATATCACATTGTGGAAATATTCACAAGACACAAACTGCATCAGATGGATACATACAGATGTCTTGATAAAATTGTTATTTCCTTATTCACCCTGGTGATTCACTTTTTAAAGATGACACATTTGCCTGAAATAAAAGTATTAATGAAAGTGATAATATCTGTTTTCAATGGGGTGGTTAATTTTAGCATTTACACATTGTACATTTGTTTGTTTTTTATTTATTTATTTCAATTATTTTTTTATTATTTTTTTTCTTACTTTACTTTTATGATTATTTTTATGTTGCCCCTTCAATTAATATACTGTGCACTACATTTTTAAAACAAAAAACAACAATTAATATAATTATTTATTATTGAAAAAAATGTTTTGAGAAGATAGGCATAAAGCAAAATCAGATGAATTATTTTTAGTGTCCAATACAAATGTATTAGCATTAGCATAGACAAGAATCTTAATATTGGCTTTCATCAAAAAGAGAAAACTAGAGCAAACTCAGAACCTCCACGAAACGTAATGCAAGAAACACGTACAAAGCAATTAAGAAGCGATCAGCCACTCACGGAGGAGTCAGCCACGTCGCCCAGTGGAGCCACCAGGGCGAGGTCTCCTCGGCCTTGGGTAGTCTGGCTGTCGATAATCAGGCGGTCTGTAGACTGGTTCAGGTCGATACACGGGTGGTGAAGGCGGGAGAACACTGTTCTCATCAGGACTACTGGGTATTCCAATCGAAAGCTTTTTGCGTCGCATGCAGACAGCACAACGACTAATGCGAGTTGTTAATTCTCCTGCTTTCAGTGTACGTTGTCGAGGCTTGCGGAACATTTCAAATTCTTCAACTGTGGCCAACCAGTAAGAATACGCTGTAGAGAACAAATGGCATGTTCCATATCCTTGACATTGCAAGAACGGACTAGCTCGGAATTCCTCGAGACAGGAGCCAGGAGAGACAAGGGCCTGACCACTTCCTTCAGCGCCTGAGTCAATGTGCTGAAAAACACAATTTGAAGATTATTATTATGACATATGCTCCATAACATTATAGTTAATTTATTAAATTATAACAGTGTCCCCAATACACAACCATGCTAAAATGGCACATAGGTACATGCATATTACACTCAAGCATTATATTGTAAACAATCATTAGAATGCCTTCCACGAGATAGTAGAAATTAACTAGAGAGGCTCACGAGTAATTTCAAAGTCCACTTTCATTGAGATACAAAGGCAATATCCCACATTTCCTATGAGCATAAATGCAAAACGATTCAGTACATTCCAAATTATAGTGATGATTGGCTGAATGGATGGAATGGTACTTTCCATAAAAATGCAACTACTATACGGAGATAAAATCTGTTATTTTAATAAAAAGAAATGTTTATTAATTGAAAGTTATATGAATAATGAAGGGTATAATTTTCATGAAGAAAAGGAAATTAAATACATTTCAGGAAAGCCTGTTTAATTGAAGATGTTTGCATTACAAGAAAGGCTTTCATAGCTTTGTTTACTCCATATTGCCATGATCATGGTGATCTTCCCAATATTCTACGTTCTGGAGGGCTCCATTCCCAAGCACAAATGAGGCTTTTATACATTGCTCATTTGGGTTTCTTTGTTGTTTTGTCGTTCCCTAGCACCCAATTTAAATGCCGTATTGCTCTCTTTCCTGGGCTAATTTTATTTACTATGTAATCTTTGCTTTTACCAGTCTCAGAAAGTGTCACTCTCAGATATTTATTCATAAAAATATATTACAATGTGATAAAAAAATAATTTGAGAAATGAGATACGACATTAATTAAGTGCAATTTTTAACAACTAAGTAAAATAAAATAAAAAATAAAACAAAAAGACTTAAAAAAACTTTTTAAAAAATACAAATGATACAAAAGACTACTGAAACAAAATACAAACCATTAGGAAGCTGTACCCAGTCCAAATAACATCCCAGTCATTGGGACAATTGGGAACCTGAGTAGTCTGACTATGAACTGCCATCACTCTGGTTGTAGTTTCACACACAGTGCACCTATTTGAATAGCAAAATTCAATGAAATTACATTCATAAAAACATGTAATTAAATTACACAGTATGAATGTGAAAATACAGTAAAATTTTTCTACAAAAATAACAAATGATTTGTTTACTGTGAATGCAACCTTGTATGGGAGCTAATCAATGGACATTGTTTAACAATAATGTAATAATAAAATAATTTATCTCAGTTAATTTTTTCACCTTTTAATGTGAAAAACTGCAAATTTGCAAGTTTAATTTTACACACCTGGAGATGTATTTTTGTACGTCGTGAGATGGAATAGGTGTCATCATCATCGGCAGGGCTTCCGCAGTGCTTAACCAATAGCTGGAGTCCCCGCGACTCGAGTAGTCGCACACGTTATTCAGATTACAGAACATGAAAGGCATGGTGGAGAAGCGTCGCAAGCAGCTTCCAGGTGCGCCTAATAACAGAAATAATCTATTTGAGCTTGAGATTCATTTTTAATTAATACATTTCCTCCAGAAGCAAATTGAACAAAATTGTTCAAAGTAGTGTGGATGACAATGGAGAGTGAGTTAATTTGGAAGCTTATTGGTATCTTACAATATTTAAAATTTAAACAATATAAACATTTCTCCAAAGTGCTCTTTCGTTATTATTTTAGTGAGAAGGTATCTAATAATAATTCTCTGAATGATTAAATTGCTTACTGTTTTCAAAATGTTTCTCATAGGAATTTACAGTAATAAATACGTAAATAAATACAAACATTGATAACTGAAACCCCTGTTGCTTTCATTACATTCATGTTTTCACAAAGAACTTCCCTAAATAATATGAAGTATTTTTTGTTTTTCTGCACTTTAAAAAACTGTTTTGGTTGTGTGAAGTTAATATGAATCTTCCATAGGTAATATACAGTCTTTGTGTAATTTATCTTCATAATCACTGCTTGGGACAATATTATCATGGAAATCTCATCCAAAGAGATTTATAGCGATTAAGCACTTAATTGCTAGGCTTACCTAGGTCCTGGCCGTGAGCCTTTGCATTACCCACGAAGTGCAAGAGAGAGTAGCCGTCCCACATGCGAATGGTGCCCCGTGGGCAGGCAGGAGACTGTCTGGTTTGGGAGTGTCGAGTGAAGAAAAATCCTCGGCTCTTCGGTTCAGGGCCTGGAGGTGCGGGCTCTCCAGGCATTCCAGGAATACCTGTTGGCAACCGACAGGGGAAACATCTGATTCCATAAAAACCTTTCACAATTTATAATTTTAATAGTTATCATGTCTTAGGCTGCAATTTGTTCGGGATATTTGTTTCGCTAACGTTTCATTAATGCATAAAAACTAATTGTCATTCTTTTATAATTCAAAACTATGTTATTTGCAAGTACACTAATAAAATGTCTCTATTAACAACATTTTCCTGTTTTGGTGGTCTTTATAAAATAAGGAAATTCAAGAACAATTTTTGTTATTATGATAATATTGTATCTGGGTGTCCAAAATTTGTTTATTCCAAATCTGTCTCAACCAAAATTTGTAGTGCTGTTGTCATAATACAGTTTTTAAATACTAATTTTGGTAGTAAACTATTTTAAAATATTTTATCAATAGCAGACATTTGAACAAGAATAATGCTTCTCATAACTTGCAAACAACGCTCTTCTAAAAAAATCATATTTAACAGAGACTAAAAGTTGCATTTGTTAATACCTCAGTTCATTATGTTAAATAAGAATGAAAGTCTTCCAGACCTAAAATTCCTTTGGGCCCCACTCCGCCATCGCGGCCGGGGAACCCCGCCTGGCCCTTCGGCCCCGGGGCTCCCGGCAGGCCTCGTCGACCCGCTGCTCCCGGGAATCCCTCCATGCCTCGCAGCCCATCTCGGCCCGGCTTGCCCATCAGGCCCGGTTGTCCGGGGAATCCTGAATTCAACATTTGGGCACATTTATTTCATCAAAACATTAGTTCACAAAGCAATCAAGTATATCAACATTGGGGATCAGAGAACTCTTTGATGCATTGTCCAGTGCTTGATCATTTAGTGTGTTCGGTTTTGTTAACTGCTATGGTCGTTAGTCACGTGTGTAGTGTATAAGTAGGGAGCAGTTGCTCCCTTGCTAGAACTTGAAATCTACTGCCAACCAACAAGTCATCTTGCAGAAGTTAGCTGCAATACCTCAAGGTATTTGCACCAACGGGGCATGACCCTGGCTGAAATAAACAATGGTCTCCCAGCATGTGGGGTAGTGTAGTGCAAGTGTTTATTTGCAAGGAGGAGCAGGAGGAGGAGGAGGAAAAGTCAAGAATGAGGAAGAAAAGATGGGGCACAGTCCGTGGCCTGTTTGTTAAGACACTACTCTGACATTGTTTGGATAAAATATGGAAAGTCATTGGTCAACACATATTTTTAATAAAAGTCAATTTTAAAGTTTTAAGATATAACTGATTAAAATATGTGAATGCTTATTTGCATTTTCTTCATTACACACAAATTAATACATTAGGTTTTAAAGTAATAAATTTTCCTAATCTCAAAAGAACTCAAATTCATCTAATTTTTTAATGAATAAATATGAACAATAAAACTCACAAAAAATCGTGTCAGTAATACTCACCAATAGGCCCTTCAAATCCTACGTCTCCTTGTAGTCCTTTGGGAGCAAGTTGCGGCGGGAAGTCATCCCCGCGATCACCTCGCATTCCCTGCACATTTCAAGAAAAATACTATGCAAGTCAAATCAATAGATTTGTTTCATTTTTAAATGTTTTTCGAAACATTGAAAGAATTGCTGTAATTGATCATGCACCAATAATTTTTGCTGTTAACTCTAATATTTTGAGCTTAGGCTGGCAAAAAAGCATTTATTCTGGCTAAAGCAAGGGTATAAAAAGACTTTGAAACAGTGAAAAACCACCAATTAAAAGGAATTATTGTAACCGGCGTACGGGTGGTGGGGAACTCACCTCTATATTAATTCATGCGCAGTTCCAAAAGGTCTTTTTGGAATTAATAATAAAGAGAGGTAAAAAAGTCGTTAACTGGCTGTAACTCACCTGCCCGCCGACGCGGCCCAGCTGGCCGGGCAGCCCGTCCAGGCCCACCATGCCCGGCAGCCCCTTGGGGCCCGGCGCGCCCGCCTGCCCGGGAAAGCCACGCTCGCCCTGCGCGCCGCGGAAGCCCGGCAGCCCGGCCAGCCCCGGCAGCCCGCGGTCGCCCGTGATGCCCTTGTAGCTGCAAGACGCGTCTCAAACATGTTAGAGCACAAACATAGGTATAGAGATATAGACAAAATACGAAAAGTCAAACTGAGGCAAGTTCACATCCGGTTCAAATAAGAGCATCTGAATAATTAAAATTTGGTACAAATTGGTAAAAAACAAAATCGTGTATGTACGTCCTTGCTGCATAATAAATAATCTGAATCATTGAAATTAGGTAAGATATTGTAAGTACCATGGGCGCTAACTGGCCCTAATGATCTCGTGCTCACCTGATGCTGGGCCGTCCGGGCTCGCCGCGCAGGCCCTTGCTGCCCGGGCGGCCGCGCGTGCCCTCGAGCCCCGGCAGCCCGGTGAGGCCCGGCAGCCCGGCCGCGCCGCGCCGCCCGGCCTCGCCCGGGTAGCCCTTGGGGCCGCGCACCGAGGGACCCTGCACGCCGGCGATGCCCTTGGGGCCGTCGGGGCCGTACTCGCCCGGCGCGCCCTTCTGGCCCGGCCGCCCCGGCCGCCCGTGGCGCCCGTCCAGCCCCGCGCGGCCCGGCTCCCCGCGCTCGGCGCCCGCGCCCGCCGCGCCTGCGCACAACGCAGCCACGGGTCAGGGCGCTCGCCCATCCCGAACAGCTCAGGCGACACTTTGACGAGCCCCAAAGGCCGACACGCGGAGGGGAGGGCGAGCACAGAAAGTTCGTCACTCGGCAAATTGCAACTCATCACACTACTCGGGATTCGGCTCGCCGAATAACAAGGGAAGAGGGTACCATGTAATTCGCCCCTGTTGAATTTGCTTTTATGGATGTACCTTTTGGAGAAAATGGTCAAAGAGAAAATGTTGAAATTTAACACACCTTAGGATGAAACCTTTCTTATTATTTTGACATATTTTGTGTTGATAAAACAATATTTGGTATTTTTTTTCAAATTTTATCTTTGCCCTGGTTCCCCCCCCTAGTATTTTTAGACAAACATTACTTTTAAATATTTTTTATGACTAAAGAATGTTTATACTGAAGAAAGTGGTCTCTTTGAAATGTTAATGAGCTTCAAAGTCAAAAAATCATCAGAGCAATTAAAGCAATCTTGGATTATCTGGTTCCATAATTCAAAAATTAAATATGCTTCTCAATTGATCGTTAATATCTGAACATTATTAAAGAATTTTGTTAACATGAACTTTTTCATTAAAAACATATCGACTTCAAAAAATCGATGTTAAGTATATCGATGCTATTATAAAATCATCTATGAATTTAAAATGCGGTATTTGCGAGGACGGTCGCAGAATTGCGGCCGATATGTTGACGCATGTGCCAACGACGCGGTGTCTCCCGGACAGCCAAGTTGTTACTAACATGAAAACAATTGAATGAAGGGGATTATGAGAGACAATTATGGGAGGGAAATATGAGGAGCCAAACTGGCATAAGGTAACATCTAGTTAATTAGTAAATAATAAAAATTTAATGAATAAAATTAGGTTAAAATCTTGAATGTATCACGGGCGTTACCTGGTTCTAATGACCTCGCACGTTCAATCATTACAACCATTTTAAAGCCCCTGGGGCATGGAGGAAGGGAGTGGGTTGCTTACCCGCTGGTCCTCGCTGCCCGCGCTCGCCGACCTGCCCCGGCAGCCCCTGCTCGCCACGCAGCCCCGGCGCCCCCTCCAGGCCCCGGTCGCCTCGCGCGCCCTGCCGAACACACACGCCTCGCTCAGCGCTGCCGCCCAAAACCGTCCTTTCAAGCACACATGCCAGGGAGGGATTTAATATGAAAGCGGTGTCGTTTATTCATTTTAATTGAGATTCAACTGACAAAGCAAAGTCAAAAAATCACGAGGGCAAATACCAAATCGTGAATTATGTGATTCATTAATTCAAAAATTATAGAGGATTCTTAATTGACGAAAACCAAGTTTCTTTACCTATCATCCTTAACTTAAAAGTCCATCCATCTTTTACTTAAGTCTGAAATGTATATTTAATTTATATATGAAAATTATAATGGAATTTTTTACGAGGGACTTTTTCTCTAATTTAGAAAATACCGACTGTGGAAAAAAACATCCAAAAATGTTAAAAAAAATATCGGCTTCAAAAGTCCACGTTCATTTACATCAGAGATGTCAAGGTCGATGCCACCAGCAGGAGTCCGTGGCACGAAATCATTCCTTCACTCAGTTCACCACCTCGCTTCAAGGGAGCAGTAGGTAGTTAAAGTCACCCTGAATGCGTTTACGCTTTAAACATAATATACCGTTAGGCGGGGTTTAAATAAATAAATTTAAGAATCCTGCTATTTTTTCATTTATACTTTTACTTACTTTGAACATTGTTGCCTCAAACGCTTTTGTAAATTTGATCTTTCTTCGCCAACCATGTTTTCATATTCAATCTTATGTTTCATTCCTTAGGGGTTTTGTAAGTTATACTTTTTTATTTGAAGTATTTGAGTACACACTAAACAATTTGCATGAGCATCAATATTTTTACCAATAACTCTCCCTCCCAATGTTATCAAAATATTTCAAATCCCTGGAATACCCTATTGCAGGTTTAGACAAGGCCATCACAATCAGAAAACGGTGAAGTTTTGATTTTTTTATGTCAAAGACAGTGTGTGTGACATGCTACGGAGAGAAGTGAATTCTGAGTGAATTCTGTACGCGTTTTCATAATTCTGTGATCCATACCCTAAGCTATATACTAGTTGAATTTTGAATACAAAAAGAAATGAGCGTTTTTGCAAGGATTGTTAACAAAATATTCGTTCCGATTAAAAATAAAATCTATTTTCAAGGATCAATCAGCTATAAATTTGGGTTCTTTTCCCTCATCTTGTCCTTTATGAAGGAATAATTCTTGCAGCCGCGAAAACACTGAGAATGATAATTTGAATAATTATATTTCCCGCTGAATTCTAGAAGACGTACACAGATAATGAAGTAACATTTATGCCCAGAAGCAAAACAAGGGGCCATATCAACATTTGCTCAAAGGATCAGGGAAACGACATAAAACCTTATCGTGATGGGGGTCATTGACCCAGAAGATGCGGTACAATACTTGTTACAGGTTCTTTAGAATTATTCAGTTCAAATGGAAAAACATACATTAAATATCACTGGTAAAAAATGTTACTTTCCTTTTGATGATTTCTATTTGTATAGAAACAGTTATGCAGTAGAAAACACTTTACATGGAACTTAAACTATTCTATCGAATTAAATCCCGTAATGTCATCTGACAAAGTGTTGTAAAATGATGTTCATGTATTGTATGTGAATTTTTTTATGTTTAGTGAGCTGGGGGTTTGTGCTGATAAGTCTCCTTTCGCCACGCTAGTTGCGCTGAGAAGTTCGTAGCTTGCCTCAACGCGATGTCCCACCAGTAGGAGACGTTGACACAAGCACAGTCATGTGGCACTCACCTGCCGCCCCGGCAGCCCGCGGAGGCCGGCGTCGCCCGGCAGCCCGGGCAGGCCAGGGATGCCGGGCCGCCCCGGCACGCCCGCGTCGCCCTTCACCGCCACCCCGAACTCGCTGCTGCCCGGCTCGCCCGCCACGCCCTTGACGCCCGGCGCGCCCGCCACGCCGCGCACGCCCTGCGGGCCCCGGTCGCCCGGGAAGCCTGCGAAACACTCCGCTCAGGCGCTCCGCAGGGGCCAGCCAACTCATCGGCGATTAGCAGGTCTCTCTCTCAATACACTCCTTTCATAGAAACGACCAATTTTCAATTGGTGCTATTTTTTTGTTAATTTATTTCCTTACTTTGATTTTGGGGTCTCTTGAAAATTGCAAAAATGTTGATAGTGATCAATAAATCAATGTTCATCTACAATAAAATATTTAATAATCAATTCAAATTGGTCAATCCATATTCTAACTACTGAGCTTGTTTGAGGCACACTAAGTAAAAATAGCAATCATGTAACATATTTCAAGGTCCGTATGAAATTTATGTTTACAACTATTCTATAAGAAATCATCTCGTCGCTTCTAGAAGACACAAGCTGCAATTGTTTGGAATGCTCACCTGGGCGTCCCATGATGCCGGCGACCCGTCCACGCCCGGCAGCCCCCGAGCGCCCGGCGCGCCGCCTGCCCGGCCACCGTGCTCGCCCTTGAAGCCCGGCAGGCCGCGCGCGCCCTTGAAGCCCGGCGCCCCGCGGGGCCCTGGTCGCCCGCGGGCCTGCAGCCCCGGCGCGGCCGGCAGGCCGAAGCTGCCGCGCTGGCCCGCGCGCCGGGCAGTCGCCCACGCCCGGTCGCCCGCCTCGCCTTCGCGCCCGCACGCCGTCATGCCCACGCCCGGCAGCCCCGCACCCCTTGGAGCCGCCCGCGCCGTTGCGGGCCGCGCAGCCCGTCGCCCGCGCGACCCTAGCCCAACACCTCACTCAACACTCGATCAATCACTTAGCTCCAACTCGCCGACACTTCAACTCGGCCAGTGCTCAACACATCCGCCCAACCACTTGCTCAAACGATCCATTTAAACCACCCTTGTCACCTCGCCCAAACACTCTTTCGACTCTTTACTCAACACCTTCCCCAGCACCTCACTCAATCACTTGCTCAACCTTTCAACCACTTGTTTGTACTGAATGAAACAACAGTGCCCCGAAATTGGTGTGGAGGAATCAGTTGTGTTGCAGCTGACAAAATGTATTTAAGAGTAAAGTTGAGAAAACTAATTGATAGCTTTTTTAATTCACTTAACCTACAACACAATTTAGCGAAACAAAACATAAAAGTTTTTGGAACAGTTCATGTCAACACAAAAATGTTCCAAAAACTTATCTTTGGACAAAAATATAAAAAGGGAAAATGTTTGCCTCATGCCAAACATTTCCTGGGTTTCAGTGCATTTATGAAATGGATGAACAAATCTGTACATTTACTGACAAATTTCTAGTCTACTATTCCCACCGCTACCGTAAACCAGAAAAAGACATTATCTGATGAATACATTAATGTTATTTGCCCTGAAATAGTTTTGAAACAATAAAAATATGGGCGAAGATGATCTGATGGATCAACGACAAGTGTGCTATGTAGTGGACAGAAAATCGAAGATTAAATTTTATCTTCGTTTGTTCGTTGATTGCCGTAAATAATGCACAGATCGTCTACATAAAATGGCTTGAACAGGAGTCACAAATGTCGTGCTCACAGTACCATCAGCTTGCAACTCGCCCACTCATTGGCCATTTCCGTCATGGAAGAACACCATTCTCTCTACTGTCATGACTGCGAAGAAAGGGAGGGAGAGAGAGAATAATGAAAAACGATAGCACAAAGTTTTACATATTATGATTCAATGTAACATTCGAAAGAGGTGTTAATTGTACGTGTTCAAAGTCACACAAATGCACGATTTACATACAACCCACACATACAACATACAACGCAGACATACAACAGGCAAAATAGCACAAATAATACAATTATATTTACAATGTTTACTTGTTTCACGAAAGAAAGAAATTGCTTTGAGAAATACCACACTTAAAATGTTTACATTATCGGAAAGATAAAACGTTCAAAAAAATGTACACATGAATTTGTTAATTTAATTCAATTGGTCAGATACGATACGTTTCCAGAAATAAGACAAAAAAATTCACTTTAATGCACAAATGTACAATTTGCCCAAAGTTATGGCTGTTTTGTCAAAAAAATAATTATGTGATAATTTAAAGCTAAATAAAAAAGTTTTAAAGTAATTTTGCTTTTTCATATCTTTTTGTGTGCGGAAGAGTGATATCAAATAAACAGTGCTGATGTTCCAACTTTTTATCGACCGGTTCTCTACAATAATTTCCAATAACTTTTTATTCTTGTACTTTAATAGAATCAATGGTTCATTAAATGAGGTAATATGCCTCTACAGAAAAGGTATAATGCAACCCGCATTTACAGATTTACGGATACGGTAATTTAAGAACTTAACAATGTGCTTGAATATTACAAAGTGATCACAAAGCTGGTTGATTCTGACGTGTGTGCCAGTAGCCGTGTGGTCCCAAGACGTAAACAGCATTTCACAAAATTAGTCGCGTCTCAATCAGCAGAAGATTAGGTCAAGAGAGATCGTCCCAATCAAAAATATGGTATTCAAAATATGATATTCAGAGCTACAATAATTTTAAGTACTCATTTTTCCTAGGGCCTTTGTCCAGCAGACTGATGGTTACAGAATTGCGGGCTCCTCTGATCTGGGGACAACAGAACACAAGGCCCTCCGCGACAACACATACATGAGAGACAAACAGCCATACCCAAGGCGGGACTCGAACCCGCGACCCTTCTGACCGCAGCGCTGGGTCGGTACACGCTCTAGCCACCTCGGCCATCTGGGTCGGCATATTTTAGCAACCCCATTCTGACAAATTTCAACTGGGGTGGGATATGACAAACATTTTAACAACCGGTTCGCGCGAAGGACATCACTGCAAATGGAGCGTGAACAAGAGTATGGAGTGTGGAGAGGCTGACCGTTTTGGCCGGGCTCGCCGCGCTGGCCGATGACGCCGATGTCGCCGGGCAGGCCGGGCAGCCCGGGCACGCCCACGTCGCCGGGGAATCCGGGGCGGCCGTCGGGGCCCGCGGGCCCCTGGGGGCCCGGGAAGCCCCCGTCGCCGCGCGCGCCCTTGCTGCCGGGCAGCCCGGCGAGGCGGGGCGGCCGCCCACGCCCGCCGCCCCGTCGTCGCCCAGCGGCCGCGCGTCGCCCTCCTCGCCCGGCGTGCCCGGCCGCCCATCACGCCGGCCGCCCCTCAGGCCGCGCTGGCCCGGCTCGCCGTCCAGCCCGCGCCGCCCCGGGAACCCGGCTCGCCGCGCAGCCCCGGCAGCCGGCCGCGGCCGGCTCGCCCTCGCGGCCCGCCGCCCTTGTCGCCGAAGAGGCCGTGCAGGCCCGGCTGCCCCACGGCGCCCGGCGCGCCCGGCGGCCCCGCCAGCGCCACGCCGCGCTCGCCCTTCGCGCCCTGCAACCACCGCAAGCAATTGGCACCACTGCTAAGGAGAGGAAGGGGACAATCTAGACAATGGGGACAAAAGAAGGCAACGGGCAACATGGATGAAATGGGATAAAAAGGACCAGGGAGTAAAAACAAAAGAGACACATTTAGCCATATGTTTATGAGCGCTGGTAAAATGTAAACCCGAGAGTCAACTAAAATATTTTTAGTGGACTCTCGAGGATTTTAACGGCCGTTACAATGGACGCGCCCTTAAAGCGTTGTTTTGATGGTTCAGTGGATGGAGAACTTGGGTTAGATGGTTGGAGCGAAGTGTTTACCGACGTAAATAACAAAAAAATACTTACTTCTGGAAATACAGGGTCATTACAAATGATTCATCGGATTAAAAAATATATTTCAGAAACTATTAAGGCCTCCGTATACGAGCGGGATTTCCTCAAGGCTTGGTCCAAACAGCTCAAGCCATGAAGAATTTCGCAACGCGTATGGCGGTTTCCTTGAGGCTGCGGAGGTGGCCGGAAGAGGCCGAAAAATCCCGAACCGAAGTCAATCCTTTTTTGACTTGAGGCCGGATTTCTCCGACCTCTTGATGGTGAACCACCACCAACGCACTCTAGGACACACAAGCCAGGAACGCGAACTTCGCTCACCAGGTACAAACATCATTTCTCCTGCACTTGCTAAAATGGTCCCTTCGAGGTCACACGAACTGAAAAGCGAGGTGCACACTGCCATCCAATCATGAGCTCCAATACCAACAATTTAAATCGTAACGAAGCTCGCGATTGGATGACAGTGTCCTCCGTTCCTCCCACCTCGTGACATTGCAAGGACACTGTTTTAATCGGAGTATACTCTTCATGGATATCGAAGCCTTTTTCATTAGAGAAATGTCTCATTTTTTACGGTGACGTAACGTCGTCGCAAAAAAGGTTTTGACGTCACCACGAAGAAAACTGTTTTCGCTGCGGCAACAGTGTTTTTCGACACTAAATCAAAGTGACATTTTTCACACTGACGTGGCGAACAAAGATAGAGCTTATTTTCAATAACCATGTACAAAAATCGTTTAATGATATTTATATTTCGTGAGCGAAGTGATAGATTTTATAGATTCCCGAATGTTTGCATCTGCAAAAAGATCTCAATATTGATGGTGCTAAAACCAACCATTCTTTGGAGAAAGTTAACAATTAAGTTTACTATATTAATAATATATCAGAAAAAGAGAAAGTGTGCTGTAGGGTTTACTTCATTCCCCTACTTTTTTAACCAATATTTGATTAATAAATGAGTAAATAATCGTTGTTGCCTCTTCCTCATGCAACTTCGTGCTTCCACCTGTTAATTTTATACATACATTGTAAAGAAATATGTTAAATGTTTATTTTATTGTTTTACAGTACTGTACCTGATGTTGCAAAAACAGATTTCGCGAAACGTACATTTGGTTTACTAAAATATTTTACTGATTCATTTTAATGCTAAATGTTTTAAACAATGTTAACCAATAATGAAAAGTGGGCTAAACACAATTGGATTCTTGCTCCACTGGACTATAATGAAATGGACTTTAATATAGATGGTAATAGAATTAGGTTCTTTCTCCAAAGAATTAGAAAACAGATGGTCAAAGTATACATTCTATTAAAAAACGATGCATGCACATCATATAAAAATAACTATTAAAAATACCAATACTGTTCAACATTCACTTTTTTTTATTTTGGGTTCACGAAGTGAAAAATATTCTAGCCACAGCTAAAACAGAATAGCCCTGGATTATTTCTCCTCTACGCTTAATTGAAAAAGATACGCACATGAGAGCGATAACAGTGAGACTATTGCACAAGTACATTACATGAAAATATCCGAAGGCTTTGCTCCGCCCATCATGAACATTCAATAAATTTAAAAACAACATTTATAAATACGTAATATAGCATTCAGTACTGAACAATACAAAGAATTATGTAAGTGCATATCGATCTTTACATCTCATGGGTGAAGGTCACTAACCCGGTGGCTGCGGGATCGCCCCAAGGGGTTATAAAGTTGTATTAGCAGCTCCCTGTGAAACAGAAGGTCGTTGAAGAAAGAGTACGCTGTGGTGACTCACCGGTCGTCCTGGCAGTCCGCTGTAGCCCGGGGCGCCCTTGTCGCCCTTAAGGCCCTTGGAGCCGTCCTCGCCGCGCCGCCCTTGGTAGCCCAGCGGCCCTTCGTCACCCGGCTCGCCCTTGGGGCCGACCACGCCCGGGGGCCCGTACTCGCCCGCCAGGATGCTCTGGCCCGGCTCCCCGCGGTCGCCCTTCTGCCCGGGCAGCGCCTGCGCAGCACAGCACAGCCCCACCCCGCAAAAGTGTTACACTTCATCACGATGCTGTTCATTTGGCCAAGTAAATGTTGAAATACATAACTAGGGAAATTTTGGCCGCTTAACGTGGCCATATTATCTTCACATACCTTATATATACACCATTAAAATGAATACAATCTTAAAGCAGCATGAGCTCTGCGTCATTATACCTAATATAACGATTCGTGACAAATTAAAAATTAATAGTTACTTTTTTTCTTTCGAGGGGAGAGTTTACTTTACTCCTTTCCCATCCTGTGGATCCGCGACTGCTAGAACCAATACGGTAATCCACAAAATGACGCAATTCTTTCAATCAACGAATGATTCAATTCAATCTCAAGAGAAAACCAATTTTAATCGAACCTTATCTCGAAAGAAATACTCCAGTCTAAAATCTGAAAAATTGGGGAGTAATGTTCTACAAATAATGGCAATGAAAATAATTTTCGAAAATAAAGTGTCGCCTTTCACTTTTATCCGAAAGGGAATGAGGAAGTCTGTCCACAATTTACAGATGCCCAGAAAGTATCCGTTCCCCATTTTAGTTCAAACGGGTTTAACTCATCTTCTCTCTGGTGCCCACTTTACATAAGCCACTTTGCAAAGGGCAGAGGAGTTATGGAGGAATCGTCGCTTGGCCGCTTGGGGCGCTACTCACGTTGGCGCCCGGCTCGCCGCGCAAGCCCGGCTCCCCACGCGGGCCGCGTGGCCCCAGCGGGCCGGGCTCGCCCGGGTAGCCCTTCTGCCCCTGCGGGCCCTGCGGGGAGGAGCCGCGCCGGCCCTGCGCGCCCGGGTGGCCCGGCCGCCCCGGCGTCCCCGCCTCGCCCGGCTCGCCCTTGAGCCCGTGGCGGCCCGGCGCGCCCTCCTCGCCCTTCGGCCCCACCTCACCCTTCACATTGGGCAGGCTGGTGTAGTCCATGGCGTCGCCCTCGAAGCCCTTCTGGCCCTGGTTGCCCTTGCGCCCCTTCAGCCCCCTGCCAACACAACAAAAGAAAATCACTATTGCCAACTTAACAGCCTTACTCACTTTAATTTCAGTTTTTTAAAATACACATATCACTTAATAATAAAGTAAGATCAGTAGTTGCTGATGCTGTCTTTTTCATTCAAGGAGATATCTGAACACTTGAGCATCGTCTCAACACTAATTTTGAAACGAACTTTTAGCATGCCACACAGGCTGTGAAAGAACCGCTTTTACTAGTGGCTGTCTAAAAAGGTGATTTTCACAACTGCAGAGTAGTATATTATGCAACTCATTTATATCGTTAAGCTCAATTCCATAAATAAATGAATAAATAAGTAAATAGATAAAGTAGATAAAGCAGATAAAATAAAGTAGACAAAATAGATAAAGTAGATAAAGCAGATAAAGTAGATAAAGCAGATAAAGTAGATAAAGTAGATAAAGTAGATAAAGTAGATAAAGTAGATAAAGTAGATAAAGTAGATGAAATAGATGAAATAGATGAAGTAGATGAAGTAGATGCAGCAAATGAAGCGGAAAGGCTGACCGTCGTCCGGGCTGTCCGGGGAAGCCCTTGAGGAAGTGCTTGGGCGTGAGGTCGTCGGCGCCGCGCGCGCCCGGTAGCCCGTCCAGGCCCGGCTGGCCGTTGAGCCCCGGCCGGCCCGGCAGGCCCTGGTCGCCCTTGGCGCCCTTGAAGCCCTGCAGGCCCGTGGCGCCGTCGGGCCCCGCCGGCCCGCGCCGCCCGGGCAGGCCCTGCAGCCCCGGGAAGCCCTTGAGGCCCAGCTCGCCCTTGTCGGGCACGGTGGCGCCGTCGGGCACGCGCACCACGCCGTCGCGGCCCGCCTCGCCCGGGAAGCCCTGCTCGCCCGGCGGGCCCTGCGGCCCCGGGTTGCCCTCGAAGCCCTTGACGCCGCGCCGCCCCTGCAGGCCCTTGGGCCCGCGCGGGCCGGGCAGCCCCGGGAAGCCCGGCTGGCCGGGGGCGCCGTTGCGCGCCGCGTCGCCGCGCTCGCCCTTGGCGCCGGGCAGCCCTGCAACACACGCACGCGGGAAGGTCAAGCTGGGAGGAACTCCGCTGGGCGCCACACAGACGAACAGACGTCGATTTTTGGATATCAGGGACCCATACGAAACGGATTCTGGCTGCACCCGTATTAGAGTTTGTAACTGGATATCCTTTTTCCTCACCAGGGCACCGAAATGAACGTTTTTGTGTCGAAAAGTCGTCTTTCCCGGCTCATGATAAAAATACATTCTTTTTTAGGAAGCAAGGGCGAGAAAATTATAACTAGTTCGAGAAACTGTGTGCCATTTGTAGCAGCATTAGTTTTTATTCCTAATTATGGTCAGTCATTTTTTTTAATCTGAATTATTAATACTACAGCATACTTCAAAGAATGTTTTTATTTTTCATGCGTATTGTTCATTAATGCCCCATTTCGTCACAAGTGAGTCTTTATGTGAAATAATTTATTTTTTCAATTGATTTTTTTTTACTTTTCATGCGCATTGCACATTGTAGCGATACCTATTTCGTTACGAGTGAGTCCTTGTGTGAGAGGAAGATCCCTATATCCCTGCGAGGAGATGTAATGCCTATTTTTATTCTCAGAATTGTGTGAATTCGTTTTCGTAAACCTTTCACAGTGCTAGTTTGATTGATTGATTGTTAGTGATTCCGGGCGTGTCAATTACTGGTCATTTGTCCCGTAAGTGTAATACATGTTTTGCTGGGGAGGTGGCGGTGGTGTTACCCCTGCTGTACGGGGAGACCCGGCGCCGACCTACTGTAGGCTACCAGGGTTTTCCTCAACCAGGTATCTCCCACCAGCAGAGCAACGCCTCAGACGGGACAAACTCTAACCTCCCGACCTGTCTTTCGGCATGTGTGGTAGTTTAGGGCATGTAAGTGTAAATGCGTGTAAGTAAGGGGTGGAAATAAGACAGGGAAGAACTAGGAAAGATCGCGCGCGGTCCGTGGCCCGTTTGTTAAGGTACTGCTCTGACATTCGCCTGGTGTTGATCAGAGAAACCAGGGACAACTAGCCGGCCGCTATAATTCTCCTCCCTACAGCAGCTGACAAGCTAGTGTCGAACATCTCGCCACTGTCGGGGGTGACAGCCTAGGACCTCCCGGTCAGAAGAACTGCAGCGGCACGAGTTGCCACTCTCCCGCGCCAGTGCTCGCGTCGGCGAAGACGAGCAGAGGGGAATCGCCGGCGAGTGAGGCCAGCGCCCGAGAATACCCGCGTGTGCATCGCATGCACGCACGCGCGCGCGCGCGCGCCCGAGTGGAAAGGGCTGTAAATTGCGGTTTCAGCGGCGTCGCGTCGGCGGTGCAATTGAGGTTAAGTGGCGCGCGGCGCGGCGCCCCCGCTCGCTGTGCCCTCAACCCACGGCCGCCGCCACACCGCACGCGCCTCTCCACGGGCTACGGAGCTTCTATGGTTATTGACGACGCAAGTCTCGTAAGACGTAATACGGATTGCAGAATTACCAAACGAGGCCGTTGGACCGAGTTTCATGTAGAGGAATTACTCTCAGAAGCGGCCGCTTTGACAAGTCAGGAAACAAATGAACGTCATGCACGGCGATGACATTGCAAGAGATGTAGAGGAAATCATTTACAAATGAGCCAACTGTAAACGAACGAACTGACAAAACGACTGCATGGACATGTGTTATGCAGTTAAGTTGCCAGCAGTGCATGGCCTGCAGTTATGCTGCAAGCAATGACGACTTGTCAAAGCGGTCCCTTCTTATAATGATCTCTCTCCGACAATCGAGTATTATTATGACATATTAAGATGCAAATGCCGTACAGCTTTCTTTTCTACTTTGCAAAAATTCCGGGGTTCTATAATTTACATTTAAATTTGACTGTTCGATCTGCGGTAAGTGATTGATAGTGATTAATAGGAGACTGCAATTTATGCAAACATTTACATTCTAATAATTTTTAGTTGCATTAAAAAACGTTATTGTTGTTGTTGTTAATAGTTAACCATGAATTATTAGCATAAATGTGTTCAAATGATGTATAACGACAATGATCTCAGTTTCATAATGGTAGTTTATGCAACTAGTTTATAATGTTAAGCTTTATTGCACGAGTATATGTTTTGAAAACGAGCGACGTTAAGAGCGAGTTTTCAAATATTTGCGAATGCAATAAAGCAACATTACAAACGAGTTGCATACGCCACTTTTTTGTATAACAGCATTATAAATTTACAAGAGAATCAAACTTAATTTTGCGAAACAACTTTCTTGAGCCGTCTTGGGTATTTGACATCTGTGCAAGGTAACTGAGGTCGGCTGTTCCGTTTACCTCTACCTCCCTACGATTCTTTCACTGCGATTGGGTAAATGTGTGATGACGTAATCATTCGTGCTATAAGATCTGATATGTCATCATTTGTGCTGTAAAATGCCCGATTATGATCGAGTTCTTGCAACAGAAAAGGTCGTTTATAGTGCTAGTACACAGAAAAATTGTATTTTATACTAAAGAGGATAAAGTGTGTTTATTTTACTGCTTTAAATTAAACAGAAAGCTGTTGCCGCTGCGGGTCGCAGGCAGGGGCTGCTCGGGCGCACGAGCTGAGCTCGCGCATGCGCAGGAACCGAATTTTCGAAGACGTTCCGCTTTCATCCACGCGCCCGCGTCCATTGCCTTGCGCGTTGCAGAACGTGGAAGGAAGCGGGTACACTATATGCTAGCAAATGCACACAGGTGTTTCATAAACAGAACCACATATGCTTTCGATAGCGAGTTCCCTTCCGCATCTCCTCAGACCATTTTTGTCTGATCTCCCGATCTACACACCCTTCTTAAGTATATTTTTAATTGAAAAAGCTGTCCCTTATAGTATAATTATTTTTAATGCAAAATATGTAATAATTCGGTAATTTTCACCAAACGTAAACAGGAGTCTAACCAACACTGATATTCACCAGCCGATTTGTCTGATGTCACCCTTCGAATTTGAAGTAGATGTAAATGAAATGTGTTCTCCAAAGTCGAATCTTTAAATAAGTTCAGTACAAGTTTTTGAACAAATTGAGTATTTCTCGCATAATTGTGCATGGAATATAGCCAATTTTTAAGAAAAGATTTTGTCAAAAACGGCTCCAAATTAAGAAAACTCTGAAATAAAGTAAAGTATTTTAAAATTGGCGCAGGGCCTATTTTTGATGAACTCCCTGTGTTTTCAAAATTTCAAATTCTATGCCTGCACTTCATTTGTTATATTTTCGTACGAAATATAAGAAAGCAATATGAAATATCAACGCCGCGATACAATTGAAGTTTGTAACAACGGTTTACAGTTGTCAGTGGTCTTCTAGCAACGGGGTATTATGATAGATGACACTAAATAAACAAGCAGAATGATTTGCAAGGTCTTGGAGACAAGTTCGAAAGCTTCTCAGTTTCACGGGAATGTGGGCTTATGGAAATGTAGGCTAGACACATTAGCAGTAATAAATCCTAAAAATTTAAGAAGCGGTTGTAAGTTGTGAATTGAAAACAAAAGTGTTGAAATTACATTGTTATTTAATTGTTGTTGAGAATGTCTATTATTTCTCAAAGAAGAAGCGATTGTAGGAAAGTCGATGAAAAAGTAACTGTGACGCTCTAAACATTGTGTCATTACAAAAATCTGAGAATTCCTTCTCATTATTGAGCGATGTTTATGACTGTATGTAACGCAGTTTTCGATTATCGAATTTGTGATTATGAATTAGCTTTAGAATAATCAAATTTATCACCTAAAGCTCTACGATTTGCAATGCGTTTTACAAGTATGGATTCAGATGCGTTAACAGGGACAGAAATTGCGGCATTGTAATATAAATTGCGGTATTGTAATCGTTATTAATGCGAGCAAGTATGTGCAGCGTAGCGTCTTTAGAGTTTTAAGTTTTTTGACCATTTAATAAGTATTAAAGAGCAAAAAATGTGCAAACCCAAATTGTGGACAAGCCGTAATATTTTCTGCATTCTCCCTTGATACGATTATATTACTTGAACAAAGAAATTCATCGACTCCTTACGTAATATACGTATCGCCAAGTTACCCAGAACTCCCAACCAAACTTTCTTGAACACGAAGTTTATTTGAAGCATGCTCCCTCCCTGAAAAACATCACTGACACAAATTTGACATACTATAAAAAGAGAATATTGTAATTGTGTCTTGGGTGCCCGGAGCAAACCGCGTCTGTGTGCTGTCTGATGACGTTCCGCCAAAAGTCTTATGATCGTCATTAGAGCAGTGCTGCTCTGAAGAGAGGTGGCAAGAGTTTGCTCGAAACGTTGGCCGCAGCGACTCATACACGGCTCGTTCCGGAGCCAAGATTCATTGAACGCCTGAAAACGATAGTAGAATACTCTGGAAATAAATAGGGATGCGACACCGACAAAACATTGATGTTTTGACACATCGATGTTCAAATTTTAAAAATCGATGTTCAGAATACATTTACCCCAAACCATGGATGTTTCTAAAACAATTTTAGTAACCTTTAACATCAGCGTTCACACGGGTGTCCTATTTATTAATTTATGATTTGTTGTAGCAGACAAAATAAAGTGAAATCATTCTCAAAACAATTATTAAAGTGTTTATTATCTTAATTCAAATTTGTTAATAATTGTATTATCTATAATACAAAAATAACACTACATTTATTGGCAAACAATCGACTAAATTATTCTTCACTATTGTTGAATTTGGTCTAAAGAATGTTCAAATTATAGATATTTGAAAATTACTGTATTTTTTTCATTTGAAATGAAATAAGAAGCAAGTAAAAACATCAATGTTAAATAACATCGGCATCAATAAATCGATGACAGATACATCGCTTTCGCATCCCTAGTAAGAAAAGCATGCGGAGGAGGTGGCACTGACCTGGGGGGCAGTAGCCGCAATCGTCGCCTCGGAAGCCCTTGGGCCCCGGGAAGCCGGGCTGGCCTGGCAGGCCTGGAAGGCCCTCCTCGCCGGGGTAGCCAGGACGCCCGCGGCCGCCCGGCGGGCCCATGAGGCTCACAGCCTGCCCAGGCAGCCCCTTCAGCCCCTGCAGGCCCGGCTCGCCGCGGTCGCCTGCCTGCCCGGGGATGCCAGGCCGGCCAGGGAAGCCGTCAGCGCCGGGCGGCCCGTAGATGGTGAGGCCGGGCACGCCCTTCTCGCCCACGCCGCCCTGCAGCCCCGGCAGGCCCTGCGCGCCTCGCCGCCCGGGCGATCCGCCCAGCCCTGCGAACCACCACCGCAACACAGCTCGCACCACCCGCCAGGCCCACGGACCACCTGCGCACCTCAAGCGCCACTTACCCAGCGCGCACGCGCAGCCAATGGCCCTCACTACTCCCCTAGGCCGCGCCCCAACCGCCCAGCCCAGACACCACCACGCACCCAGACACCGACAAGCCACGCGCAACCCGCCTAGCCCCGCTCCCACTCACCACACGCCCAGTACACGCGGGACCCGCCCATCCCACGCATCCAACTCCCCGGCAAAGCACCACCCTCATATACTACGCAGCAATTACATCTCACCCATCCACAACCACCATCCCAGACACGACACGTCTAGCCCTCGCACCCAACACCATGTCCATGGCCCAACATGCCAATACCACGCACCGTATGTTCACCCACGCACCAATCAACCTCAAGCAAGACCCGCCCACCCAGGCAGGTACCGCCCTGATCGCACGTCCAGCCCTCGCGCCTAACCCTCAGACGTGGATTGAAGCATAACTATAATTGACATAAATCAGGCGTTACGGTGCCATCGTACGTTCACAACTTATCCCTCTATTGTTGTAGCTGAAGTATTGATCCAAATTTGGTATGTATTACGTAAAGATGGAAAATTTAAAATTTGAATAATAACTGTAATTCAATTTTAACGAAGATTTTCTATTAGTAAGAATTTCACTCACCGTCGTCTCCGCGCTCGCCCTTGATGCTGAGGCCGGTGGGGCCACGGGGGCCCGGGTACCCTGGCTCGCCCGGCGGCCCGGGGGGGCCGATGTAGCCCGACACGCCCTGCAGCCCGGGCAGGCCCGACTCGCCGGGGGGGCCCTGGGGCCCCAGGGGGCCCTGCGGCCCCTGAGCTCCCTCCACGATCTCGCCCAGGTTCGGGTCGTACAGGCCGGGCGCCCCCTCCACGCCCTGCGGCACACGCGCCGGCATGCCAACTCTCCCACGCGGTGGCGAGACAATTCACATTCACTTCACATACAGGTTATCTTTCAAATTTGCTCATTTTACCCTCGATCTAATCTCTTTACGTTCGAAACAGCTACTCCAGCAAGTGATGTGCTATAAATTCTTTGTATGTGACCAAGAAAATATGCATTAGAATATTTTATATCTCTAATACTGAACCGCACATTTATTTTTGTATTACTTAAATTATTTTAATATAATTGATGATTAACTGATGTGGAGTAAAAGCGCCTGAACTGCCCTTACTAAAACATTGTCGTAGTTTGAAGCTATAGAATTCGATTCGTTTTGTGAAAATCAATGGCCAATTAGTACTCTTCTTCTTCCATGCCAAAGATGCCCAACTTGAAACTTTTTTAAATTTATTTCTGAACTATAATTTTTATCCAGTACTGGTCATAAAATTGCAAAATGTTGGTGAAGGTCAAATTATTTTGAATATATTTGAAACCAAAAACGTCCCAAAAATTCCAGTTCAGATTAAATTACTGCAATGCCAATATTCATAAGATTTCAAGGTATTCTTTGTTTCAAGGTATTCAAGATTTTTCAAGGTGTTCCAAGGTATGCTTTATATATAACTGTTTATAGGTGTGCGAAATGGAAAGTAGCTGCATCTAAATGCCATTGACAACATTGAAGAAGCAAGAAGATACGGTCGTTAAATGAATTACGCTGCCATTGCACTCACCTGCAGGCCCGGGTTGCCCGGGAGGCCTGGCTCGCCGCGCCCGCCCACAGAGCCGTCGTCGCCCGGCGTGCCCTCGAAGCCCGGCGCGCCCTTCTGGCCCTTGTTGCCCGCCGGGCCCTCGGGCCCCAGGCGGCCCTGCTTGCCGCGCTGCCCGTCGTCCCCGCGCTCGCCCTTCGTGCCCTTGATGCCCGCTTGCCCGGGCACGCCCTGCGAACACCGCCACCTTGTTCGTCGCGCGCAGGCGTTCCGCAGGGAGGAAAAATCTCTTAACACAATTTTAAGCTTAATTTGTCTCACAAACGCCTTGAATATTCCGAATGGATGAGCCTCAATAAGCACTCAAAAGTTGGTTTGTAAAAAGGCTTTCTATGCAACAATTTGATTTTCAGAAACATGTAAACTGGTTCTTAATTACAAAAGAAATGAATATATTTGTTCAGAAATAAAAATTAACACACAAATAAAAAGCAACCAATTTACTCAATTCGATTGCTTGTTTACTTTTGTGTTAAATTTTCTTTCTTAACAAATATATTCATTTATTTTGTAAATAATAAACAATTTACATGTTTCTGAAGTGTTTCTATGCTTTTTTAATGCAAATGTTTGCCAAAAAAGCATCTTTTCAAACCAACTTTTGAGTCCATATTGCGGCTCATCCATTCGGAATAACAACTACTTTATTAGACAAAATGCGCTTAAAATTGTCTTATTTTCATAGTTTCGACGTTTCTTCCCCGGACACACTGTATTCAGTTTCTTATTGATGTTATAGCTTTTGAAATGGAGCTCGCTGTACACCGCATAACTTATCTCGGTCGAAAGGATCGTGATTACCAGGGAAATATGAATACAGTTGAATGAAGCTACATGTTATCTTATGGAGAAAATTATGAGATGGAAATATGAAAACACAAACCGAGTCAAGTGAGCATCTAGTTAATTAGTAAATAAGTACATCTGAATCAATAAAACTAGAAAAAACAAAATCATGAATGTACCACGGACGTTAACTAGTTCTAATGATCTCAGGCGACAAAAGCATATCAGGTCAAAGTTCCTCTGGCTTTTTGTCGCCACTCGATCATTAGAACTCTTACAACGCTCAAGGTGCGCAATTAACTATTCACTGCGTTTGAACGCGAGTAGCCGTATACCAGTGTTTATTGATGTCTACCAAGCACAAAAAAGGACGTAACTTCTTGAAATGAAATTTTATATCTCATGTTCATTAGAAAAAGTAATGATTTTCGAACCCTGTACATACTACACACGTTTTTAAGGTTTATCAGAAACACCTAGACTTTATTCAAGTGTAGATGGTCTACAATGTAGCAAAACAATTGACAAGTTAAGACTATGAAGGAAAGAGTATGAAAGAATTCTAAAACATTTTAAAAAGGTTGTCGTTGAGTATGAAGAAAAGAAACAGGCCAAAACAAAACAAATTAAAGAAAACCAATAAAATTTGAAAGAGAATAATTTAACGGAAGATGAATGCAAAGAAAATGATGGGATGGAAGAAGAAAATGGAAATTATATATTGAATAATTTTTAAAACAGGAAGATGCTTTTACCAATGTCCACCTGAAAAATGAAAAAGTTGATTGTGTATCGGGACATTATTTTTCAGGATAAGTCATTTCAAATACAAGAAAATAAATTTGCATGTTATAAGCAAGAAAATTAACCAATGTTGATAACGTAATCCTGCCGAAAAACGGCTCGTTACAGCTACAGTTTGTCAAAATCTGAATTTTCATAACATCCAGAAGTTTTTGTTAATGTTGAGGCGAATCCAACTGCAACGTCTTACCGGAGATAAATTCTACTTTTCCCCTGAGCAGATTAAGAAAGCTATTGTGTTAATTTGTTAAATTCCTTGGTGGTAGCAGAAATATTGTGGTAATCCGTAGTGTTAATTAAGGATTGTGGAGGTATCAACCACAAAGTATATTAAAGTATAAATTTAATATAAAGAATAAATAGACATATTATACGTGTTTTGGGACTAATTTATCTCGTGTGTAGCCACTGAATATGGGATAAATTAATCCCGAAACACGTGTATGGCTATTTATTCTTTATATTAAATTGATATTGTAATATACTTTTTGGTTGATACCTCCTCGATCCTTAATTAATTATCATTATGAATTTATTAAAACGCAGTGCGAAAACAATAGGCAATTGTGTGACGTCAGACACACACAGCATCAAAATTCGAAAATGGCCAAAAACTCATCTAGGGTTATCCCTGCTCGAGGGGTTCAAATATTAAAAGAAATATTGTAGATAAAATTAAGGTTAATACAATGGTGTGGGTGATTGTTTGTATCTGAAATGACTCACCTGTCTCAGTACATTATGGAAGAAGGGATGTGTATAATCTACATATCACTCATTCAAATTGCAGAACTTTGAATTGTTTAATCTTTGAAGTTACTGAAGAAAATATTTCAGAGTGATATACCTGTGCGTAATACAAATAATGGTGCAGAAGTGATTCCCGTATATTTCAAATGTATTGTTTTATCTTTTGTGTAATTAGCGGGGCTCAAATTCGGAGGGCATGTCATCTTTTAGTTGGTGCATTCTAAACGAAGACGAAGCTAACTTGTAAACTAATGTTTATAACAACATAGATGATAGAAATGGGTCATTGGGTAATTTTTTTACCTGTGAATCATTTTTTGACATTTTTTGGCATTTGTTTTCCTCTTCGTGTTCTTTTGTTAGTGAATGTTTCACTACTTTACAATGACACACTAAAACGCTCGTATTGTACCATCAGATACTGACGAAATTCAGTGCAGAGGTATTTTTTGAACTCTCAAAATTACACGGACCTTCGGTAACTTCCTCGGCCGATCAAAACCGACGGTTGGAAGATCGCAACTACGGTTTTTATATGCTTCTAAAATAAATACTTTATATTAAAAATAATTTATATAAATAAATTGTATTTAAAATTGTAAAATTGATTGAATCCGTGCCAACCTACAGGTCAGCTTGCTGGAGATTTCCAACCTCCAGGTATCTCTCCCAGCCGGGAAACATCTTCAGATGGAACAAGCTCTAAGCTCCCGACCTAGTAGGTCTCCCGGCTAGTGTAGTGCATGCAAGTGTAAGTGTATGTGTGTGTGTATGTCAGGGGTGACAATATGACAAGGAAGGGGAAGGAAAGATCGCGCGCGGGCCGTGACCAGTTTATTGTGGTAATGCTCTGCCATCCCTCTAGTATTGACCAGAGAAATCACGGGGAAGTACCGATCAGAACAGTCGGCTGATAAAATTCTCATCCAGATAGTGGTTGAATGCGACATAGTGTATAGCTGGGTTCCAAAACCCGCCACTGTCGGGACTCGAATCTTAGATTTTCACTGCCAAAAATATAGCGAAATCAACAATCTAGCCGCTGAGGCATTTCAGTCGGTCTCAAGATAAAGAAACTCAGCAATGAATAATATAAAATTTGAGAGGAGTAAACAGTGTTCTTATTCTGGGTGTACTCTAGGACACCGCAGTTTTAATGCAAGATCGCAAACGTCTAGATAGAATGCAAGATCGCAATTGAAATGAATTGCACGTGTATTGAGTTTTTAAATAACGATTTGCTTTAAACTCGTTTCAAGTATTTAATTAAGAATATAACAACATTAATATATATTATTTTATTGCCATTTAATTCATTTATTGTAATATATAATCGTAATCTACGTTTCATTTTAGGTATATATGTCAGTCTTTTTAGAGAAATATGATGTTTCATATTAATTCCTTATTTGTATTACCAGTCATATAATTGTTAACTAATGAAGATAAACGCTTTTCCAGACGGACGTAGCTTCTGGTAATTGCTAAAAACATTTGTGTTCCATTACGGAGGCCCATGAAATGACGAAATGGTGAATGAGGTATCTGGGGCAGTAGTTGCAACATATATCCAGCAGCTACAACAGCTGTAATTGGTCATCGGACAACAAGTGATGATCTACGACTTCGTGTTCATAACGGGATTGTGTCGGGGTATGATTAGTTCTCAGAAGGAAGAAATGGAAGTTACATCATGAATCGATTAAATAAGCAACTGCTTTTTTTAAACTAACTCATTTAATTTGAAAACAATACCTACCATCAGCTATGTAATAAACAAGGAGTTAAAATAGCTCGTCCCTCTGTAAAATTATTTTTTGTAATTATAGTGCTATTTGTGTTCGTATTTATGTTGTGTGCGTATTAAAATTTATATTAATTAAAAATGCTAAAAAGAGCTCCAACACATTTAATAACTTCATAACCTATAACCCATTTACCAGAAAATTAACTACCTTAAAAATACTCTAAATAAAATTCGAATTAAAACGTGGAAACACGCTTGTAAACATATATAAGTTGCATATAAAACACAACTTCAAATTACCAAATAAATATTAAAGCACCAGCGCGATTGCCATTTTTTTACTGTCTAGACAGTTATGACATTTTCTTGTATGACGTATCTGTGTACTGTGTATGACGTATCCTAGAAGTGTTTGCTGGGTGCAAGGTTTAAGTTTTTCTTTCGTCCTGCGCGGTATGGAATAAGGTGGATGAGGAATGAAGTTGGTCACGTGAAACCAATCCTAAACCTATCCTCAATCGTTCATTGGACTTGATTGTGGTCCTAATTGAATGCAATTTAAAACGGCCGTGAGCCGTTAGTGAAGTGAAGTGTGGTGAAGTGAAGTGAGTTGAAGTGAGGTGAAGTGTGGTGAAGTGGTGTGAAGTAGAGTGAGGTGAAGAGTGTGATGAAGTGAGGTGAAGCGAGGTGAAGTGAGGTGAAGTGGAGGCACTGACCGAGGGCCCGCGGGGTCCGCGCTCGCCCTTGGGGCCCACGTCGCCCTGGTCGCCCGCGTAGCCGGGCTCGCCGCGCGGGCCCTTGAACTCGATGGTGACGTTGGGCTCCAGCACCCACTTGGACGCGTAGCCCTTCTGGCCCGTCTCGCCCGGCTCGCCCTTCTCGCCCTTGTTGCCGTGCTGCGTGTCGCCTTGGTCGCCCTTCGGACCCCACAGGCCCGTCGCGCCGGGCTCGCCCTGCCAAACAAACACAGAGCTCCATTGGAAGGGTGGCAAATAAATATTCAATATTTTCTATTGTTTTCAGTATCTTATGTTTTAAGTCAATCAGTACAATTATTTTATACGCAATCAGTCAATTGTATTTCATGTAGTTTAAATTATAAAAATAACTTGTTTTATATTCAAGGTACAACGTTGCTTGAACTAATTGTTCGCATCTTCAAGTACAAGGCTTCTGTATAAATGACCAAATTATTTTAATAACAATGAACATCTATTAATGATAAAATTACAAGAAACAAATACAAATCCGAAAGACAATTATGGAGAGAGACTCACCTCATCAAATTTTAAAACTGATAATGATTTTTTTAAATTTTAATTCAAAATATCATATGAATTTGAAAAAACTTCTTGATTTGAATTTACTGAGTTATTAATTTTGATAAATAAGGTTTCAAAAATTACCCTGGCGCATATTCTTGACTATTTGTCTGAAATTGACGGATTTTGAAAATCAAAATTTTATGTGAAAGCTGTATTCTGAGTTTTGAAATTGTGTTTAACTTTTCATGAATTTCTCTTATGCAAACAACAGAATTTATTAGCAGACAATGAACATAATTAGTAAATAATAAATTCAATATTTTCATTTTAAATCGAGAAATCGGTGGGTATTTCGCAAAAGAGATATGTATTTCTCTCTTCCATTCAAAAGTTATGAAGAACTTGGAACCACTTTGATCGTTGAAAATGGAAATGAACACCACGAAGGAAGTGACGTGCTGTCTCGTGCCATTTCGGAGTCGCATCCCCACTGTTTTCTTTCTAAAATGACCAACAATTGAAGGCTTGAAATAAAAAAGGATGTAAGTGCCAGTTTCATACATTTCATTCATTTTGAGAAAAGTGAGTTTATATTTACGTTAAACATTTAACTCTAAAAAATCCTGCCATTATAATCACCTCGTAACACTATTATGAAATGCGTATGGACTTTGGTTCTTATTTAGGTTAAGGGCACAACACGCTTCTGCGGAAGTCCACCACCGAGCGCCTCCGCCGATCGTGTGAAGACCTCCACTTAAGCCAACGCTTTGCCGGCAGACGCGCCTCTCGGAAGCGCTGCCGACTGAGGGGCCCTGAATACCCCCGTTTAAACCAGCGCTTCGCCTGTGCAGGGGCCGAAGTGCTCACCGCGTCGCCGGCGTCGCCGCGGCCGCCAGCGAAGCCGCGCGGCCCCTCCAGGCCAGGCAGCCCGCGCCCCGCCCGCCAGCCCCGCCTCGCCACGCTCGCCCTTGTTGCCGCGCCGTGTTTGGCGCCCCTCGCCGGGCTCGTCCCGCGGGCCCTGGTCGCCCTGCGCGCCCAAGGTGCCCGCGGGCCCGCCGCCCGCGCACGCCCTCCTCACGTCGCAGCCGTCGTGCCGTTGCAGCCGTCCAACCCGTGCCGCCCGCCGCGCCCGCCGGCCCACAAGCCCCTGCAACACAACAGCGCATCAGCCACGCACTGGCCACCAGGCGCTGCAACAACACATGGCGCGAACACCAGGCCACCAGGCCCAGCAACACTCAGGAAAACACTGCCTAATGGCCCCCCACTACCCTGCAACACAACGCCGGCATCAGCCACGCACTGGCCACAGCGCTGCAACACAACGCATGGGCGAAACACAGGCCACCAGCCAGCAACAACTCAGGAAAACACTGCCTAATGGCGCCCCCACTAGCCCCTGCAACACAACCGCGCCAATCAGCACGCACTGGCCACCAGGCGCTGCAACACAACGCATGGGCGAAACACAGGCCACCAGGCCCAGCAACAACTTAGGAAAACACTGCCTAATGGACCAACCAGGCCCTGCAACATGTAAGCAAAAAACTAGGCGATTGTCCTACCAGAATTTACAACAACATATTAAGCAACACTGGTTGATGTACACACCAGACCCTGCAACACACAACACATTAGCAAAGCACTGACCGAGGGTGTTTCTCAAATAAACAGGCGTACATACGCCCGAGCAGTGTCGCGCCAATCCTTGGTATAGGCAGTGCAACGTACAGAATTAGGTATTTTTTACACCTGCATTATTTTTACTTTTTTATTTCAGACGAATGAAGTTTACTGAATTACGAGGAGATGAGACGTCTATCCTTTGGCAATGCTTCGCGCTATTTGCCTCTTGCGCAATAATGATCGTCATCGGTGCTATTGTGCAATGTTGTAGGCAATTTAACATGATTCAAACGAACAGACGTCGATTCTGTACTATTCCATGTTTGGTAATATGTATAGAATGTATATAATTTAATATTCGCTATGTAATGTTATGCATGCTATTATAACATGTAAATAATATTACGCAATGAACCATCATGTAAAAGATCTACTTAATGTTTCTCTGCAACGAATTGTAAATATGCAATTAAATTTAAAATGTTAATTGTTCGAAAAGGTGGAAATTAATTGAACATAAAAGTGTACATACTATTTTTCTCACTAAGAATTATAACGGAATATTTATGACTTTTGTACTTCTTCTAATTTCGCAAAAATTAAGTTTTATTTCCTAATCATTTTAACTGTTAAATTCATTCTTCTCGACTAAAACATAAACAATTACAAAACTTCCAGATTTATTCTTTATATACATACTTTTGTATGCTTCCTTTTAAAACAATTTGAATACTACATTTTTCACTGTAAATATATAAAACTACGTATTTTATGAGAAGAAATAATGTTCCTAGGTATGATGCAAGCATTGATAATTAAGTTAATGACATTTTAATATTTTCCTTTCTTCGCATTTTAAAATATACAATTTTCATTCCTTAGCGTTCATTATTTAATTGCCCACATTGCATTGTTTCACGTGTTGCATTTTCTTATTTGGAAGCCCAAATAAATCGATTTACGAAGTTCTGTTCTTTTGGCCTCTCGGGTCAATTTCGACAATTACATCGCTGATTACAAACGCTCTGCATTCGTGTATTTCCGGGCACACTCATCGAAGAGGCCCGCAATTGAGTATAATTCTCAATCGAGATGTTTCCGAGAGGAGGTCATCAACGTCTCTGGGTGACTTTGTCGTAAACAAAAGGTTCAAAGGTCAACGTCCTACAATTTGGTTGAGACAAAAGAGATGAGTATAATAGACTCTAAAGCCATTCTCATTCCTTGAATTGCGTTGTTTAAATCTAGTCTACTGACATTGACTTACAACACGTACATTTGGCATTTTGGTGAAATGCAGTAGATATCTTGCATTAAGTGAATATCCTGTTATGTAAAAGTATCTCATTTTGGAATGACGCCAAACGCATGATTCTATCTACCTCTGAAATTATCTTTCACCAAGAGACTTAACCAAAACTGAACTTACTTAATTCACAAATTCTTTGATCATTCAATGAATTTTAAAAAATTCTTGTAAAAAATTTGTTTAGAGTTATCTTCTCAGATATTCTAGAAAAGATATTCCATTATTCTGATTGGGATCGTGAATATAATTTATGATTAACACGCGTTCGTTATTAATTACGCACTTTTATATTAATTTCGAGATTTTTTTCTGAAACTTAAATGTAAGATATCGTATCCGTAATGAAAGAACGTTCTCAAATTTCTTAAAACATTATCATCGACTATTAATAATGATCACACATGGTGGATTGCATTTAAACACGCAATGGTAATGACGTGGAGTAACTTGACAAAGATTACTGCTGGAAATGATGTCAGAGGCGGGATTGAAACTGAAACAGAATTACTACATCATACGACCTAGCTCCTAAATATTTCACGGGAAATGAAAGATTCAGAAAACTTTTACCGAAACGTTTACCGAAAAGGTTTCGCGAGTTCAGGAATCTATGCAAGAGTGGGAGTGGAGCAAATGTTACTAACTTCGGATACTGTAATATTCTCGTAGTTAGTTTTGGATAGGTTTTACATTCTTGAGAAAAGCACTTTTTTTTCTCTCCGGAAATTAATCTGCGAATCCTGGACAAAAATCTTCAAATATTGGTCAAAAGAAGTACTTCATTCAAGTCGTGTCTTTAGTTTGAATATTTTTCATACTGTGCGTTTACGCTATGCATCTTTGGGCTGCCGCTGGAAGTCACTTACCGGCACTCCGGGCGCTCCGGCCAAACCAGCGATCCCCCCTTCTCCCTGCAAAAACAAGACCTCATCAGCAACGCTTGGGCTAGAAAGAAGGACGGGAAAGTATTTGACAAGCTACTGGATGAAAGGTGTTTTAAAGATGAATTATTCCATGCTGGCAACTATTTCAACTCGCGTAGGCTGAGGCCCAACTTGGTTTGGGCACTGAATACTGTCGGCATTCAAATCAAGAGTAACAACATTAAACATTTCATTTTCAATTGTCAAATTTGGTTTTAATATATAACTTTCGCTGAATCTTGGAATATTTTAAGGAATATTGTTTTCAGAATGTAATACAGATCTCGTTACCTCCCGTTGCCAAGTTCGGAAGAGGAGTTGCAAAGTACGCAGGCTTTGCGCAGGCTTTGCGGAAATGTATGAGGCAGCTTAACTCCTTAATGATTCTTGTTAAGGATAATGTAGGTCAATTCTGAATTAAGCAATAAACTAGATAAGCGCATTCATGAAACCGCGAGCGAGTTGAATGACTCGGGAAGACCTCTGGCCCGAGCAGATACTGAAACGAAGCCAGGGGGCCGTGGTTGCCAGCTCCAGTCCGACAGTCAGCCCCAATTCCAAATCGGGCCACACTCTTTGTACGAGTGAGCCAATGACATCACCCACTCTGTCTACTGGAAAGTTATTTCACACATTAATAATGCATGCGGCAGGCAATGATTTATAGTATTAAGCGTGAATGCATACATAAAAAAATAAAGTCTCACAAGTAATACTGAAGCACCTGAGAAATCAAAAGCAGGCATGCGAAAACAAAACTTGATTAAATAGTAGTGCCAAAGCATGCTTTTCTTGGGTTACAAACCATCGCGTTTCTTCCGTTGGAGTCGAGGCGTGGAGTTGCACTTCAGCCCCGAAGAAGGCCATGGGAGGATGGCAGGGCAGCACGGCTTCATCCTCTTCTTACTCATCATTTTCTTACGTTGTCAGTCTGTTTCACGGTTTCGATCGCATCCCAAACTTGGGTGTAAGTACTCGATACGCCAACTGTCGCCGCCTTTCACTGCCATCCATTCGCAGACACGCTCTTTGCGCGTCGTTTCAGCTCTTACACCCCCTCATCTTCTCCCCTCCCCTCCCCTCCCCTCCCCTCCGCCCGCTCGCGTTAGGACTATTCGAGTTCGCGACCACCCTGCGCGGGGTATTTTTTGAAACCATTCGTAAATCCATACACTGCGGCCATGGCCGGATTCAGAGGTAAATTTGGGGAGGGGAAATTAAAAATGTTGTGATTAAAGATGTTGTATTACAGATTTTGTAAAATGTCGCGGGCTACACTCAGTTCTTGTGGCGATACGATTTTATGCGTTTTAATAAGTATCCGAAAATATTTTTGCTTGAATGTATCGTGGCATGTTAAAAATTAATAGTTATATAAAAATTAAAGGTGTCGAAATTTCCATGCATCCCTGCCTGCCTGAGTCCTATTTTCCAATCCTTCATATACATCTGACTCGCAATAAGTGCTAACCATCTTCTAGTGCATGTAAAGCGACCAAAGATGATCACATTTTGCCAATGAACATGTGAGAAATTTCATACAACGAACATATTTACCCCCGAATGTGTGGCAACTCTTCGTGCACTGGTCTTCGCCAGGTTCTGTTCTGTCACCACCAACGAGACAATCTGTACATCACTACATAAATAGATGTCTATTGCCCAGGGGTCCATGTCATGTGTGTATTTTCGTTATATACAATTTCCAATCGCATGTTCAGAGGCAAAAAATGATCATTTTACACCTCTCTGGTGCCATAGAAGTTGGTAACATTTATTCTCAGACATCTGCACTATCTCGTCCCAATTCTTTCATCCGTTTTCATAACTCACCTTTCTCACTTCCATTCTCAGATTTCCACGAAACCCTTTCTCACTTCAAACCCGACCGAAGCCGTGGATTTTTAGAGACAAATAAATCCTTCGTACGCCTTCCTTTGGAGAGAAAGTAAAGCCAGTTGTCTCATGTAGTAAATTTACTACATATAAAAGATCCTCAAGCCTAAAAGAACACTTGGAGCTAAATTAAAAATCGCCTGTTTCGTCGCCCGAGTAAAACCTTTCTCCGCTAGATGGTGAAAGAAGCGCAAAGCATTTGCATGGTTGGACGGAAGAGTGGGCCTGATGGCCTGAGTCTTGCCCCCTAAAATAATTCATTAACTAACTAATTACATTAGCCGTTACATTACGCAATTTGCCACCAAATTCAAACCTGCGTTTAAAAACTGTGGTTTCCATTTTAACTGTCCAAATGAGGGTTCTCATTCCATCCGGCGGGCATGGGGGGTTCTTTGAAGTACCAGTGTATTTTACCTCTATTTCGGTTTCCTTCGTGGGCAGCGAGTGTCTCGACATTCTATTGTAATGTTACAATTAATGGGGACCACCTTGTAAAACGTAACATCTTGTTAGTGTCCACCCTATTGATGTTTTCCTTATGTACCCACTCTTACGTTAAAAGTCGCTCTTTTGATTCTTCGATTATCAACACATAATTTCAAGTTATTGCATTAGTTGAAAAGACTTACTGAATTAGAGAGACCAATGGGACTGTACTGCCACGATGAGTTTAAATGTGTTCAGGGCTAGTAGAAAACCCACAAAGTCCACAGGGATAGACTCGACTTTGCCCCCTTGGTGGAGGAGATAAAAATATTTGCACTGAGCACGTTATATGAAAATATTTAATTTTGGTGTGTATGTTTCTACAAAGAAAGCCGTTTACATGGCACATTGTAAATTGTACGCCATAGGTCTTCCGCATTCTTTTCAGGTCTCCCCATCGCATCGAATCGTGGTCAGGTAAGACTTCCCGGAAGGGGATAAGTTATCTTAAACATAAACTTACTCCCAACTAATTAATAAAGAGACGGGTGGATGTTGAGTGCTCTCTCTCTCTCTCACAACTTCGCGCAACGCTCAGCACTTCTCGCTAACATGTACTGACGCAGCATTCGCAGACACACATACTGCATGCCTTCTGAGAATTATATATTCAGGTTCTGTTAGTCTGAGGCCCGCAGCGATGTGCTTATAAACAACTATCATATTTTCTCTTCCCCATCTAATGCTTCTCCTCATCATAGTATCTACCCTAATTCAGATACAAATACTATTGCAACACCACGCGCAAGACGGTCATTTCGATGTCGATGTGATTCTGTCTTCTCATCGGCACCTTCCTGGCGGTGGCCGAGCGATGGCCAAGGTTGTGTAAAGGCGACTCCACACATTCGATATTCGGCGAGTAGCGGGCAACCGCTCGCCGAACTCGAGTAGTGTGATGAGTTGCTTGATATATGCCGAGTGACGACCATTCGGTGCTCATCCTACCCACCGCGTGTCGCTCATTAGAACACCTGAAGAGGAGCGAACTCATCAGCTGGTCGGGATTGGAATTCACTTCATCTCCGCAAAGCTCTCAATTTTTATTACCATTCTATGTAGGTGACTCAGATTAACTGCTACAAATTTATAGGGCCTGCAGGGCTGTCGAACATCAGTTATTGCCCATGATCATACAATGGGAAATTTCATAAGTAGGGGGTTGATTTTAAAGAAATGTCTTTTTTTCATTTTAGGATAATGCCTTTTTAAATATATATATATATATATATATATATATATATATATATA